GCTCCAGCTCCTCCAGCATACCAGGCGCCACCAGCACCTCCAGCTTACCAGGCACCACCAGCTCCAGCTCCAGCCCCGGCTGCTCCAAAGCCAGAGGCACCAAAGGAGGCTCCAAAGCCTGCTGCACCCAAGCCAGAGGCTCCAAAGGACTACAAGCCAAGCTCCGGCGGTGGCCAGGGTATCGTCTACTCTCCTTACAACAACGACAAGTCCTGCAAGAACCAGGATCAGGTCAACGCCGACTTCGAGAAGCTCGGTGACTACAAGCTTGTTCGTATCTACGGCTGTGACTGCGACCAGGTCAACACCGTGCACAAGGCTGCTACCGCCAAGGGCATGAAGGTCTTCATCGGTATCTTCGACATCAACCAGGTCCAGTCCGACGTCGAGAAGATCGTTGCTGTCGCTAACGGCGATTGGTCTTGGGTCGACACTGTCTCTGTCGGTAACGAGCTCGTCAACAATGGTGCTGCTAGCGTCGATGCTGTTGTTGGCGCCGTCAACGCTGCTCGTAGCCAACTCCGTGGCGCTGGGTACCAGGGCCCTGTCGTCATCGTCGACACCTTCGTTGCCATGATTGCCAACCCAGCCATCTGCGAAGCTTCCGACTACGCCGCCGCCAACTGCCACGCTTTCTTCGATGGTGGCAAGACTGCTGACCAGGCCGCTGATTTCGTTGCCGAACAAGCCGAGCGCGTCAAGCAGGCCTGCGGTGGTAAGAAGACCGTCATCACCGAGACTGGCTGGCCATGGAACGGCGCCACCAACGGTGCTGCTGTCCCAAGCAAGGAGAACCAGGCCAAGGTTATCAACGGACTCAAGTCCAAGTTCTCCGAGAACATCTACCTCTTCACTGCTTTCGATGACCTCTGGAAGGACAACTTTGCTGGCTCTCACGGTGCCGAGTGCCACTGGGGTTTCATCGAGCACTCTGCTTAAATTGCTCGTGATGATTGATTTCTCAAGCACTGCATGAAGCATCAGTATGAAGCATTTGATGCGCAAGCCACACACACACACAGTCCCAGGATACGATAGATGGGCACGAAGGGAGATTTCTTGTACAAATGTCCTTCTCTCTGAAGGGGGTCCTGTTCAATACGGAAAAGACATTTGCATAGCACAGGAGGGTCTCAGCCAGGGCGTTTGTCGGGAAGAATGATTGTCTGTTTCGTAAGAGAAAATGCCTCGATTTTGAGAGGCCGGTAAAGATGCATCGGCAGCATAGCCTGCTGTCGATGAGCTTCAAATGTGCAAGTTCTTGTTCTTACCATCTCTACCATGTCATGGCACAAACTTGCCTATCTATGAGCTGGGGACATACACGCGCTCCCGCGTGTGAGTTGAGTCAAGTCCATTCTGCTGACGCGCTTGAACAGAACCGGCCTGGGGAAAGCTCCGGATGATGTGCTGTGAGCTCAATGGCCCCGCACAGATCACTGCGAACACCTCAGCTTGATGCACGTTGTGCTGCCTTTCAACTGACTACTCAATAATACCTGGCAACATTGCCCTATTACTTTGCACAAAGAGACCCAGGCTTTGCTTGGGGTGGTACAACTATCGACCTGACATCATCCCGACACAAGCAACCCCGCCATCCATCTCACAACAGACACCGCACGTCTACAACCACACTTCAAGCCGACTGCACAGCAAGACAAAACACCACGAGCACTCAAGACCCAAATCGCCCACCATGGCCTGGCGCTCCTCAGGCCCCACAAACGAAGCCCTAATCACCAACCTCTTCAACAACAACCTCATAACCTCCCCTCTCGTCCGCAACGCCATGCTCTCCGTCGACAGAGCCCACTACTCCCCCAAAAACCCCTACTCAGACTCCCCTCAATCTATCGGCCACCGCGCCACAATTTCCGCTCCACATATGCACGCCAACGCCGCAGAGTCTCTACTACCATACCTTCGTCCAGGCAGTAAAGTCCTCGATGTAGGCAGCGGAAGCGGATATTTGACTCATGTACTAGCGGAGCTAGTCAAACCTGATGGAAGAGTTGTAGGGGTGGAACACATTCAGGAGTTAGTTGAGTTGAGTCAATCCAACACTTCCAAATCCTCCGAGGGTCGCGAACTTCTCGAGAAAGGAATATTGCGATATGTAAAAGGTGATGGGAGGTTAGGGTTTGTGGATGAAGCGCCTTATGATGCGATTCATGTGGGAGCTGCGGCGAAAGAGGGGGATGAGAATGGATTGGTAGAGCAGTTGAAGAGTCCGGGGAGGTTGTTTATTCCGGTGGAGGATGGGAAGAGTGGGGAGCAGTGGATTTGGGTTGTGGATAAGGATGGGGAGGGGAGGGTGAGCAGGAAGAGGGAGTATGGGGTTAGGTATGTGCCGCTGACGGATGGGCCGCGGTGATGGGGGAAGAGGTGGTGTCGTGGAGGAAGGTGAAGAGACGACTATATATCGCAACGATTATTGTTGCGATGGTCGCTTGTGCATACTGATCTCACGAGGCTCACGGGGCTGAGCCACGAACAAGAAGAGGACACGCTGTAAATGGGCAATGCCAGCAGACGCCGGCGAACACATCTTCACGCATCGGCATCCTGGTCTGGCCAGAGAGCCGTAGGTGAAGCAAGACACAACTTCACAGACTTCATCCTCTGCGGCGCTCATGGAAACACTCTCAGAATCGCAGGAAGACCACGACAAACTACTGGCAGAGAGCACAGTGGCCAACGTGCCCATACTGCCTCCACAATGAGTCTTCTAAGGACTGGCGTTTGCTCATCCAGATTGCAGAAAGCTACGAGTAATCAGCCAGCGAACGAGCCAGATTGATCTCTGCTGGTCTTTCTGCATCCGAGCAAACCTGTTTTGTTGGTTAAAGGTACAGTCTTGTTCTCAATATGGCTATCACTCTGGTCCGCATTCTGATTCCTGAGTCGGTCTTTGGGCGTGTTCAACGTTTCAAGAGATATGGAGACAATTCCTTCACCATCCGGTGGCAACACGCTGTATGAGCCTTTGCATGCTGAGCGTAAGCAAATTCGCCTGCTCACCATTCTGCGTGGCGATTTCGGCGATGAAGTCTGGTGCACGCTCCATATTGGAAGCCTCCTGGACGCCTGCTCTTACGAAACCATTTCTTATGCTTGGGGCGATCCGAAACACCGCAGCAGCATACTTGTCAATAGCAGCAGCGTCGACGTCCCATACAGTTCCATGGCTGCAGTACGTCGGATGCGGCTTCCAGATCTGGATAGAGTTGTTTGGATCGACTCGATATGTATCAACCAGCGTGACAATTTGGAGAAGAACGCTCAGGTCGCTCTCATGTCTTCCATTTACAGTAATGGCATCCACAACCTCGTCTTCTTGGGCGGTGATCAAGATGACATTGCAACGGAAGTGCAAAGCGTGATAGACTCAGAGGCTCTGCAGGAGCAATGGAGCAAGTGTTTCAATGAGAGTTGGGATAGTCTATACCACGTACCAATGCTGTCTGGCGGCTTCATTCTGGGCGGCTTCAAGGAAATGGCCACCACTATTGCATCTTACCGCTCCCTTTTGGAAAAAACATATGACCTGCCTTGGTTCAGGTGAGTAGTTCCCGGTCCATTCCAGGCAAAGTTTTTACAGTCCACTGAACTCGCTCAGACGCTTGTGGGTCCTTCAAGAGGTTGCGATGGCTCGCGACAACACTTGTCACTGGGGCACGGCCAAGATAAAATTGGATCAATTGCTCATCGTCGCGAAGCTGTTGCAACAGACGTCGAAAGGGAGCTATCCTCACGGCTTAGCCACAGCATCGATGATGTTCAACGAACGCGCGATGGGAAAGTTCCAATTTTCACACAGAACATTCTTCTCTGTTGCCCAGGCGGGCGAGGACTTCGAAGCCACGGATCCTCGAGACCGCGTTTTTGCCCACATTTCTCGGTTTCTTACACCAAGGCTGGATGCTCGAGACAGCCTGCATGCCCGCATATCTCAATTCCATGCACTATATCTTGCGCCAAGGCAGGTTCGTGTCATGTCACCACTAATTGCTCCGGACTATTCTAAGACGACTCAGGAAGTGTCCAGAGATGCCACACGATATGCGCTCGAAGGTCAGCCCTCAGAAGTGAGTGTGATCTGGGGCGTAACTCAGCACATTTCGCAACAGGACCTAGAAGATGGTATCACGACCTGGACATTTCCATTTGGTAATACTTCGCAGCGCTATGATGACCGCTTTGCTTCCAAATTGGACCATAGCAGCTTTCATGCAGGGGTGGAGAACAAGCACATGAAACGCGAGGGCCAGCTTAAGATGATAAGATATCCGGACGTTACAGATCCAAATATCCTCACGTTGTATGTGACAATTTTGGACTCAATACTGGAGACGACCACGGTATTGACCTTAAATGAAACAAAAGAGCTTGCCCTCGAAAGTAGGGTGGTTGATACTGTCCGCGCGATGACAGACTTGGACGACGAAGCGACTGCATTCGTTCTCACTGCGGAGGGACGCCTCAATTACGATTTCCCAAATAGTCCTATGCCTGGTCCTGATGATGAGGACGACGACTTCGCAGAAATCTTGGAAGGCTATCACGCTTTTCTGCCGATGATGCGCAATGGGCTGCAGCCACGTCCGAAGCATCGAGAGATCGACACATACGCTACGCGGAAGGCCTTCAGAGGGGCTCCGTTGTCCGAAAAGTTCCTTCACGTGTTCAGATCGAAGGCGAAGAATCGCCGCTTCTTCAAGACTACAACAGGCCTTGTTGGTTCTGGGCCTCAGCTCATGGAAGCGGGGGATCTGGTCGTTATTCCGGAACGAGCTTGGGAACCTTGCGTTCTACGTCCTGTAGGCACGCAATACCTTTTCTTGGGGGTTGCATATGTCTTTGGTATGATGCACGGTGAAGTGTTCAGAAGACCTGGTGTTCAGTGGAAGTGGGTGGACATTCGATGAGGAAAAGAATTCTGCAGCTTTTGGAGCGGCATTTGAGCAGATCATATTGCAGCATGGCAGTTCTGTCTTCGCACTGAGTCGATATTCCTTTCCAGCCGAAGCACAACCAGCATGACTATCCAGACAGAACAACAAAGTTCATGGGAACCATCAGCTCATCTGCTCGGGCCTTTAGACGAAGCTCAGCAGAAACCGCCTGGTTTCGACCACCTTGGCTCGGTATCAGGGCGTTAGATCGCGGTCATAGCAAAGACTGTTGTGCTGAGAGCAGTCACGAGCACGAGAAGACGTCACCCGTAAGGAGATACAGGTACATGTAGATCAAGATCCACATGCTTTTGTTTCAATCTGTGAGTTTTTTCATGTGCTCGTGCAAGTGCCCCATGCCTCCATCAGGATGCAGTCCTTCATGAGATCCTCAGCAGCTGAATGAACCCAAGCCAAGATGTCAGTCTATACCATGTGAGCCTGTAGACAACTCCCGTATCCCATCGGGTCATCAACAACCCTCGGTTCCCGAGCAGTACGAAAAGTAGAACAATTGCCCGAATGAAATACAAAGCCAGCCAGTTTGAGCTCTTCTACAGTCATTGTGTGACCATTTCATTGGACAGATATAAAGTCAGAAGCTGGACAAATCCTAGCCAGAGAGTGCTCAAGCTTCATCATTTGCTACGAGAAGCACAGAAGTCACAGTAACGGCCAGGATCCAGCTTTGCGGAGATGATCGCAATACGCCAGAAAGTGCTCGTCATAGGACTCGACCTACCAGATGGAGGCACAGGAACCAAACCTATGGTTCAGAAATTCAGCAAACAAATGGTTCACGATGTCAATATTCTATTCCATTTCACCTTACCATCCACGCAATCAACAGATACCAGATACACAATCCCTAACCGCATCACAGGACATCTCAAACGCCCACACAGCAGGCTACGACTGCACAGTAATCGACATAAACCCATCCGATCAAGAACCTGCAAAACAAGAGCTTCAAAAGAAATTACAAACCCAGCAATGGGATCTCTTCGTGATCGGATTCGGAATTCGAGGCAATAGAGCCTTCACAACACTATTCGAAGAAGTAGTGAATGCCTGCGTGAAATCTTCGCCTGGGACCAGGTTCGGATTCGCTCCAACGCCTGATGGGGTATTTCGGACGATTATGAGGGTGTTGCCGCCGAGGTGAAGTGAGGTCAGACTATGATGACTTGTAAAATCACGAGATGCTGTGAACAGTATCATAGCAGTAAGGCTCGTTTAGATGACAAAATTGTAAGGATATGCCTTGGCCGCTTCTTCAGGAGCTCAGCTCAGCTCAAAGAGGCAGGCAGTGGCGCGGGAACAGAAACAGAAGGCACGACGCGAGCTGACGCAATTCGCCGCTGCCCTCCACACACACCTCAGGTTCCGCGAAAGCCTCACAACGTGTCGCAGATGCAAGTCGCATAAAATATAGACAAGGCAGCACACGCGCCATGAAACAAAATTGTGAAGAAAGAAGTAGAACAGTAGAGCCGATGCCAGTGTGTATTGTTATGACGAACCGTGCACGAAATGTTAACCTTTTCGGTTGAACCCGTGACCGGCATTCGTACTTTCCCATAGCCGAGCTGGAGTGTTTGGACAACTGGGCTCAACGCACCAGCTCATCAACAAACTCGCCATCAACGCACCACTCAACACCGCTCCCACATCAAAACACGAGCGGATTCGGATTCTTCGCACCATTGCGTGCTCGTACATACCCATATCGAGGATATTTCGCGTCGTTTGGGACTCCGTTTGACCGCTTTTGCCTCGCGTCGCCGCCGATTCACCGGGCGCAAAGCAGATTTTTCGCCTCGATTTCTTGATGCCTGAGGCATAAGCTCACCACCCCCAGCGTTTCCTCACCCTTCTGCGCAAACACCACGCGCTCGAAGGGGACGCCGGCCGCCGCCTTCTCCCGACTCTATGTCGACGAGAGCCAGCACTGCACGCCATGTCCGCCAACGCAAGCTGAACACGAAGCAGCCGCTTCGCATACTACGCGAAAATGAACTCGAGGAAGCGAATGATGAATCGCAACAGCACATCCCGCAAGTGGATACTGGTGTCGAGAAGGCTGAAGAAATCGTAAGTACTCACCAGATCTCACCTTCGACAGTGTTGCAGCATCGCTGACTTGATCAGGAATACCATCTTCAAGCTGTCATTAATGCAGCCAATACTTCTACTGCTGGTACCAAGACCAAACAGAACTACATTCCCACGCCCGATGCCGTGCGTGCGAAAGGCGTCAACTATGACGAGCTGTATCCGAAAGGGTTCCAGGACCCTGCAACTTACATCAGATTCAGCACCACTGTCGAGGATTCTGTTGGCAGTGCATACTGCATGGACGAGACTGACAATGACTTCCTGAATCAGAACCTGAACGAGGGTAAAGATGTCCACGGCCAACCACTTCCAGATAAGTCGCACCAGTGCTCTGAGGAGGCTTTCGAGGAGGCCATGTCGTTCTTTGAGGAATACAGCTTGCGTCTACGGCCGTTCGCCACTGTCGATGATGCTCCAGTACCCTCGTTAGATGAACTCGAGCAGGCGCGTGAAGATCCGCTATCGCAAGAAGCCCAGCACTTCGTCAAGGCCATCTATCAGCATTGGGAAAGGCGGAAGTCTGGCCATGGTAGTCCTCTCATGCCAAGCATCAAGGTCAGAGTCCTCGATACCACCTCTGAGGCTGACGATGCCGATCCGTATGTCTGCTTCCGTCGTCGCGAGGTCCGACAGACTCGCAAGACCAGAGGCCGTGATGCTCAGGTCGTAGAGAAGCTCAAGAAACTGCGAATGGAGCTCGAGCAGGCCAGGCAATTGGTTCAGATGGTTCGAGAACGTGAAGAGCTGAATAAGCAGAACCTCGAGATCACCCGCAAAGTGTTTGAAGAGCGTCGCAAGCTCAAGGAAGTCAAGATCAGCAAGAACATCGTTGGTGAGAAGGGTGAGGACGAGGAGCTGCTCGTCAACCAGAGACCTCAACCCAAGCCCAAGTCTCGACAAGATGGCGGCCGATCGGGCGCGACGATACGTCTTGCACCAAGAGCGCAATCGGCTCCAGAGAACGATCTCATTTCGTTGGCTGACTTGCAGGCTCAGTCCGAGGAGCATGTGCAGCAGATCATCTCCAACAGGAAAGAGCAGCATCGCCGCTGGAACCAGAGCTGGCAGGACAGGACATGGCAACCTCTCACGCCACCGCCCGAAACTGCAGAGCATCCACCACAATGGTCATCGTTGTTGGCAGCAGGGCCGACGGGCTATCCGACGCCGCCACCCTCGCTGCCTTCAAGGAGTTCGCAAGATCGGGATGGCGATGTCGAGATGGAAGAGCAGAAACCAAAGCTCGACGTCAACGGCAGAATTGCGACAGAACCGCAGTTTCGGTTGTCGTACCAGCCTGTCGGCATGGGCCAAGACTACGACGACGAGCTTGAGCCGGATGCGAAACGCCAGCGCTTGGATGCACCGCTTTGTCGACTACGCCGCGGGCGTGGTGGGAGACTGCACCTCGAGATGCGCAGAGATCGACCAAAGGGCGTAATATGTTCTGGTGTCGTGTCTGATGCGGAGAGTGATGATGAGCTGGAGGATTACCATCCTGTGCCGGAGAGCAAGACATTCGATTACCGAGTCGCGCTTATCAATACGCGGGTGGATCGCGGCTACCGACCCAGTGGCGACCAAACTGCCATGGTCGCGCAAGCGCAGGCAGCCATGGCGGCAGGTCAAGGCCAGAGCTCGCAGACGCAACAAGCTGCAGCTGGTGGCTCTTGAGGAATTCTTTTGATGATTGCTTGTTGTGAGGATCCCTGTCCGGCTCGTGGCAACAGAGGATGGACTTCTTGTTGTAAATTATAGGATAGCGATGATACCCCATTGTACGAAGAAATATTTGTCTGATCGCATGTCGTTCACCTCTTTGTCGGTTGTCGAATCGCGTTGGCTTCGTCTTCGAGGGTGTCAGCAGATCTTTTCTTGTTGGCATTGGCTTCTGTGACTGCAGCGACGGCTTCTTGCAAGACTTGTTTCTCGCCATCGATGACTTGCTTGGCCATGGCGCGGCGTCCGGCGAGGTCCTGATCCATACTGGAAGATGATTCTGGGTAAACGGCGTACCGATGCACAAGCACCGCACGCAGCAACCTCTTCGCATCGGTTGTGAGGTCCGTCTTAGGCAGCTTATCCTTCTTCTTCAACTTGTCGAATTCTGCCTTGGGCGTTGCAAGCAAATTCAGCAACACGCACAGTTCGTCAGGAAATTGTCCTTCTTCACTGCTTGCTCGTGAGACATCATATGCATCGTCTCCGACACCTTGCTCTTCAGCATACTGCCACTTCTCATCAGTCTCTTGTTCCGAGAGTTTGAGTTGTGCTTTCGTCTGCTCTTTGATCAAATCGGAAGAAATTTCCACGACATCGTACGCTGCGTAGCGATCTGTGACGTATCCATATCTACGAAGCAGATCCGCACGTGGCAGAGGACCGAAGTCATTGTAGAGTTCTTCACCGGCTGAGACGGGTTTGATTGTCTTCATGACGACTTTGTCATCTTCGTAGAAGAGTTTGGCATTGTTGAGGTCGGCGTTGGCGTTCAGCATGTCGGCGAGTGGAACCATGCCTTTGGGAAGTGTAGCGCTCTCTTCTTCATCTTCTTCCCACTCTTCATCTCCCTTTGCATTTTGTTCGGATTCGGGCTTCTCGAGGTCGAAGGCGTAGGCCATGATCGTGCTGCCCATGCGATGGCAGAGCGCGAGAAGTTCGTCGTTGCTGCGGCTGGCGGTTTTGAAGGTGTCGGCGTGTTGGGCGATGATGGGGATTAGTTGTTCGCTGAAGGTGGAATCGGCGGTTACTTTGCCGATCTTGTCGACTACGGCACTGCCTTGGAGGTATTGGAGTTCGTCGTCAGGCCAGTACATGAGGCTGTCGAAGGATTCGGGGAGGAGATCGAAGTAGGGTCGCCATGGAGAGTCGTCGCCTTTGAGGTATTCGTAGACCATGGCTAAGATCAGAGATAGCCATGGGTGGTCGATCTCTTTTCGCACAGCGGCTGGCAGGTCTGAAGTTTCAGCCGTCAAGATGGACGATCGCGGAATGCTGAACAGCTCTTCGTCTTCGGCCAGGTCCTTCGTTGCCACTATCACAAGACGTCAGATCGATCTCCCCGTCGTATCCAGCGTAGTTGTGCAGAGAGACATACCAACACCTCGTCCAGCAGCTCGGTCTCTGAGATCTGCAAGTTGGATATTCGGAGAAATGGTTGCGCCAGATTCCTTCAGCCACTTGAGAAAGGCGTCCGAGGCATTCTGAAAGTCGTCGACATCCATGGGCTCCATTGTCGTGCTCGTGCTGGGCCGGTCGCCTTGTACGACGAATATGCAGACAAGTGCTGTGTGTGTGGAGCTAGTAGAGAATCGGCACAAAGAACCTCAGTAGCGTCGGCTGCTCCCCCAGCGGTGTGAAATCACTGGGTGCAAGAGAAGACCCTGACGAAAACTCAAAACTCAATTGCAGAGGCAAGCAGGTGCAAAGCTCAAACATATTTACTACTCCTCTCATACGGTACATACGATGCGCGCAATCCAAGCTACATACTGCTGCCTTCGCCGCAGACTCCCGTGAATCATTTTCGAACGTCAAGCGATAGCTCCAAACCTGTCAACAAGGTCGTAGGCCCAACCCGGATCAGCTCCTCTTCTCACAAGCCTTTCAGTCGCACGACACATGTGAATATCATATACATCTGCCCTCAAGTGTCGAATCGGGTCCGACTGAAATTCTGCCTCGGCCATCGCGATCAGCATGTGTTGTTCTTGCGAGTTGGCTCCGGTGGCCCTCCATTGCCGTCTCATAGATCGAGCCCATTTCCTACGTATTCGATCCGCATTGGCGAGCAATTCTTGATCGGACATGTTTGCCCAAGTATCCTCCTCTCGAGGTCGTCCTTGAGCGTCCGGAGGGGATGGCTGCTGCATGCCACCTTGTTGTGGAGCGCCAAAGGGCGATGGAGCACCGCCGGATTGTAACGGACCGCCGAACTGTGGTATGCCGCCGAATTGTGGCCCGAATTGTGGAATGCCGCCGAATTGTGGTCCAAAGTTTGGCATGTTGATTTGCTGTGGTAGCCCGCCGTGCTGCGAAGGGGCCCCAGACTGTGACTGACTGCCGCCATACTGCGACGAGGCGCCGGACTGCGAAGGAGCTCCATACGGTGAGTTCATGGTTGCGATGGAGCGGTACGTCCAGCAAGAGCAGTGAGCTTGGGTTATATTCGTTGGTACTACGGTGTATGATATATATATCTTCGACAAAGGCCTATTCACTACAGCTAACATGAAGAAACTTATAGCATGCGTATCTATACGATCAATTGGTATCTGAATCGATCTCAATTCACCATTGTTTGCTAACAAATCGCAGACAAGCACACTATGGTAGATAGCAAGTCTCCAGCGCCACAATCAAACCACCTCCTGACTCTCCACGCCTGTTCCCATATTATATCCCATTTACATGGGAAAAAATCCGGTTTGCGAAGTGGCACGCATTGCCGGAATATCAGCAACCATCAGCCTCAGCGTCGGGACAGGATTCATCATAAATTGTTGCGCGTACCATATCAAACAGCGTCCAACATTTTCCGGGGGAATGCCGAAGGCCAATTGCATGCGCATCAGCATTCGTTCCCATTTCCTACGTATGCGGTTGAAATTGTTGAGCAACTCGTCGTCGGACATGTTGGCCCATATTTCTTCCCTCCGAGGACGACCAGCTTGAGGTTGAGGGGCTGGTTGTTGCATCCCGCCGCCTTGTGTAGGGAGACCGAAGGGCGGTTGTAGCATACCGCCTTGTGGTGGTGGACCAAAGGGCTGTTGAGGTATGCCGCCTTGTTGAGGGAACCCAAAGGGTTGTTGAGGCATGCCATTCGGTGCGCCAAAAGGTGATGGAGCGCCGAACTGGGGCGGAAAGCCCTGTTGCGGAAGCCCACCGAACTGTGAGGGAGCACCAGATTGAGAAGAGGCGCCAGATTGTGAAGGGGCACCAGCTTGTGATGGAGCGCCAAACGGTGAGTTCATGGTCGTTGATCGTAGCCGGCGATGGTGAGGGATGAGTAAGTGAGTGATCGAGCGCGGTAAGCTTCGAACGTTCTTGCTAAACATATGCGTTGATAATATGATGGGTAAGAATATATATCTCTTTGACAGAGGCCCATTCAATGTTGCCAACGTGGGTGTCCTTATGCTATATGTACTGTGGCCTGGGATCTGATCGATCTCGATTCACGATTATTTGCTAGCAACGCAAAGGCAGCATACTACCAACTCGCATACACTAGCTCTGTCACGACAGTCCCGGTCACATCCCACCCATAGCGCCACCCATGCCTCTTCCCATACCACTCATACCTCCTCCCATACCTGCCATACCTCCCATACCTCCCATTCCTCCCATAGCCGGCCCTTCCCCTCCACTCCCAATACGCCTCAAAAGCCCACGCCAATTTTCAATCTCAGCAACCCACACCTTCACTTGCAGGGCGCCAAACTGCTCCAACAATGCCTCAGATAACTTACAAAGCCGCAAAAATTCCTGTTCAGAGATAGCCCGAGTAGCCCTCCACACTCGCGTGAACAATCGGGTCCATTTCCGATGGATACGATTCGCGTTGGCTAGCAATTCCTCGTCAGACATGTTGCGGAACCTTTCCGGTAGAGACTGCTGCAGCATCTGAGTGCCTCCCGGTATCGAATGGATATAGACTACTGGGCCGCCGAATAGAGCGCTGGGTCGTGGAGGGCCGCCAAATTGGGGAGGGCCGCCGAATTGTGGCGGCATGCCCTGCTGTCCGCCAAATTGTGAAGGGCTGCCGAATTGTTGTGGCATACCCTGCTGTTCGCCGAGTTGCGATGCACCACCATACTGCGAGGCGGCACTTGATGCTGACGGAGCACCGTACTGCGAAGTCATGGCGGTTGATCGTTGGAGGTTATCTTATGGAGAGTAGCAAGTCCAGCGAGAGTAGTAAGTCCAGCGAGTACCGTGCGCTTCGAATGTTCTTGCTGATTATATTCGTTGATACTAGAATGCGTGAGATATATACCTTTGCTAGAGTCGAATTCACCATTGCCAGCATGTATATCGCCACGGTCCTTATACTGTACTGTAGATTGCTGTCCGCGATCTATCTTGATTCACTATCGTTTGTAAGCAATTCGATGGCAGCATGACCGCATACAAGATCTCTGCTATGACAGGGTGAGTTGCACCAACGTACCCTCGAGAGAACCAAAAAAGAAAACAACATTGCCAACACGATCATATTCTCATTGATCTGTGTCATTAAATAAGAGCAGCGCTGGCCACCCATATGCTATCCTCAAGACAGCACGAGACAATCCAAATTGATCGTCTTATGAAGAAGTCTCCCCATCCCAATGATTCCCATAATGCGCCTGATTCATGCAAATGCTACGAAAGCTGCTCTTTTCCCGCTTGTCAAAACGCCGCGAATCTGCGCAGGCGCAGTTTCTGTTCATAAGAGATCGTCCCATGACCCATCTATTGCACTTTCTTAACAGTTTCAGGAGGACCATAGCTTCTGTCATCCTTGCCTTCCACTTCAATCACCATTCTCTCCATCTCCTTTGTCTGTCTCTTCCACTCGCTATCGCTCATCTTCTCTTCTCGTCGGAATAGCTCGTCGTTTGGCTTTCGGTAGCTGCCACCTAGGCGGTCCCACAGTGTTGTGAATTGCCCGTAGTTGTAGTTGAAGTAGAGGTGGTGCATCGTGTGGCATGCGGCGCCGTTGATGATTGGCGAGTTCGCGACGTATTCACCGTCGTGGATCATGACTGTCCAGATCTGGATGAAGGTGAAGAGGGCGATGTAGGCGAACTTCTGGAGTGGAAAGATGAATGGGAAGAGGTGGTATGGCACGCTCTGACTGTAGCCGTCGAGTGGGTGGAAAGCGTGCGAGGCGAAGGGCGTTGGCATGATCCACTTGTGGTGAGGCTTGTGGAGCGTCTTGTAGATGCGCGGGTGGTGCAGACCACGGTGAATCCAGTAGATGCAGAAATCGGTAAACATCAAGAACAACGGGAACTGCAGGTAGTTGTACCAGCCGCCAAGGAGGTTCAGCAGAGGGTGGGTGAATGCTGGGTTTGCCGCACTGTCGTAGATGAAGGAGTAGCCTCGCACTTCTGCGACGAAGAAGGGCACTGTGAAGATTGCCATGATCGGGATTGATTCAACCGTTTGTCGAATCTCCATGCGCATTTGGTTTTTGAGGTACTTTGGATGTTGGAATGTCGTCTTGTCGAAGACGAAGATATAGCTCAGCGACGCACATGTGAAGTAGATGACCATGCCAAATATCCTAGTGCCCATCAGTACTCCATCTCTGCAAAGTCGCATCGCATTATTGAAGCTCACCATGTTATTATGTAGAAACTCAGAAACTGTCGGTAGATGTTGTCGCGGTCCCACCGGCTCAGATACGCGAATTCGCTGGGTTGTAATGAGAAGTACGAGTTCGAAGGCTCCCATTGCCATGTTGAGCGGGCCAGAGAGGCTTCTTGGGAGAAGTTGTTGAATGCCGACTCATTGCTGGCGAAGCCTTTCAGACTGGCGGCGAGGGTGGACACAGGGTCGAAGGTCGATACGCTGGGTGATATGGGCAGGGCATTGGCGTAGATGCGATCGAAGAGGAAGGTGTCGAAGACTTCGAGGACGACGTCCATGGTGGCGGCGAATGCTCTTCAGCGAGAGCTCTCGAAGCTCGGGTCGGCAAGGGCAAGGTCTCCTGGTGAACAGCCAAGGCCCAATGTCTGCACGCGAAGCAGCTCTTTTGCAGCGGCGGTCTCACGCAATGGTATGTTGCTTGGCAGAAAGAGAGACTGAGTGAGGTGGTGAATGGTGTTGTTATTGGTAAGAAAACCTCGGAATGCGTGCTGACGGCGGAAGTAGTCGGGCTTAACAGCAATATTGCGCCGCCGTCAAAGAACATCGTACGAGGGCGAGAAATTGTGAGCGGAGCCACGGAGCTTGACCCTGGCGCGCCCACCCATGCAGGGTCGGCAAGTATTGGCCCCTGGTGGCGCTTGCTTCCGTCCGACCACTCACGTGGCGCGCCGCCGCCAACGCGCCGGCCAAAAGGGCAAAGCGCCGGCTTGTCAACGCCAGTCCTCCGACCACCACTCCACTTCTCACACGTTGATATCCTCCACCATCTGGAGCCGGAATCCCAGAAACTCGTCCTCCTGAACCTCCGCCATGTCGTAAGACGTCGCAATGCCCTGCTCACGCCACCTCGCGGCGCGCAAGGACAATCCGGAGGCGACAAAACGTACGATCAAGCTCCAAGACACGCCAATCCTTCCTCCATCGATACGGGTCTGGACTGGGATATTCGCCCACTGACGTCGATCGATACTGCTTCCTGTCGAATGCAAACTGCACGTGTGCAGCGAGCAACCATTGCCGATCAGCTTCTTGCTGCTTCACTGCTGCGAGCTGTGTGTACCTCCAACTCTGGCGCGACGTTGGTCGTGGGAGATTGCGCTGTTGCGTGGCTGCCAATTGCGCCAATGTTGGAAGCCGAGCAGACCTCCTTCCGCGGCTGCGGCTCGAGAAACGAAGGTCGTTCCCGCGTCATGACGACCATCAGCGGCAACACATCCCACTCCAGGACTGCGGCGATTGCTCCCCACCAAGATGGCCGAAAGTCTTGCTGACAGAAGGGCTGTCGTCGTTCGTGGAAGTCGGGCCTTCGCTCTCCAGCGCACGGTGTTGACTGATCGTAGAAATATCTCTGGTCTTGGAGCTCGCAGTGCAGCTGTCTGCGCATTGCAACATGTGCTGTGCAATCTGGAGGACTGGGCTTCGCCGACATGATGCGTCCTGTCTGTCTGTCTGCGTCTGATGCGCTGCGCGGTGGTGGCGAAAAGACTTCTCGATAAAATACCAGGTGCAGCGGGGTGCTAACATTATAGCATGTGCCTCGCCATTCACGGTGGTTGGAGCGAACGCATTCAATGATGAAAGGAGGCTCTGGCCAACGAGAAACAGATTGCCTTGGCAACGTACTGGTATCCCCTCAAGGACAAGTCCTGTTTCGAATCGTTCACGTGGCGTACCTCCAACCACTATCCTCACCACTGATTTCTGCCCGCCTGTCTAGCCCCTTGTTTTTCCTCAGACACCACCACCTCGCCACGAGGCACGATACGATTGTCAAGCCACAACCAACAATAATGGCCCCGCCACCAATCTGGTATCTAGGCTCCTGGCTTCTCAAGAAGAAGTACGGCGTGAACCAGTGGCTAACGCTGCTGACACAATTTGCGATTGCGATCAGAGCCGCGCGCTTGGTTCGCGGGCGAGGCACGACAGTAGTCTCCCATGAGATCTGGATGTTCAGTCCCACAAATGGCCCAGAGCAGAGAAGGAAGATCGAGAAGTACCTCGCTCCAACATTGAGTGTGGAGATCATGATGACAGCGCCAACAAGACACATCAAGATACTGCCGATGATATGCCAGCAGTGTTCGAGATGACGACCACTTGACCAGGAAATGGCGAGGGTGACAAAGTAAGCCATAAGATACGGCGGAGCCTGGATGAGGTAGGTCCCAACCTGGGAAAACCCGAATGTGTTGATAATCTGAGGGCATCTCTATCAGTAGCTGCCAGACTGTGCCGGTGTGCAAAAAGACTTACCGACGGCAAGAAATCCTTGAACGACTGAGCAATGATCAGGAAAAAGTGGAGTGACGCAAATATCCAGGTGAAAGGATCTTTGCAAGCCTGTACGACTCCTCCCCAGTAGTCCCCTTCGTCGTCTTCGGTTCGTCCACCAGCAGAAACAGCAGCTCGATACTCCGCCATCGCACTTTCCTCGGGAGTGAAGTAATAGGTTCCTGTGCTTCCAGGCCAGTTTGGGATCCCCCAGAAGCCTATCACAGCAACGGCGATTGAGACGATGCCTAACGACGATTGTCAGCTTTCTGCACAGATTCCAATGCCGAAGCATCGACATACCTTCAATCAGAATAAACCACTGCCAAGCATGCAAGCCCGCAATTCCATCCATGTTCGTCAACACGCCCGCAGCAATGAGCCCCGAAAACACATTCGAGATAATATTCCCCGCATGCCAAATCGCCATCCTCAACGGCGACTCCTGCTTCGTATACCACGACGAAGTCATCAGCGAAACAGCAGGCAGGAAAGGACCTTCCAATAATCCAACCAAAAATCGACACAACATAAACGACCAAGCGGATTTCATTGCCACCATGCAAATCGTAACAGAGGACCAGCCGAGCATGACAAGAGGGAGTAGCAGACGAGGCTTGCCTTTAGCGATGATGACGTTGGCTGGGACTTGCGAAATGATGTAGCCGACGTAGAACATGGATATTCCGGCGGACCATTCGACGTCGGACATGTTGCCGACGTCGGGTTGCATTCCGGCGAGGCGGGCATTGCTGACGTTGATGCGGTCGAGGTAGCTGGTCGATGCTGGTCAATGCTATGCATCTGGCGTTGGAGGAGAGATGTCTGCCTTACTTCATCAACAGCATCGCAGTAATGCATGGCAGAAATTTCCAATCTAGTTTGCGCACGACGGCTTTGTTCAATGTGTCGAGTTCTTCTTTTGACTTGTTGCTGATTAGGGGAAAGCGTTCGAGGAGGACATCTTCCACTGGTGTCGCTTCGACAAGTTCGATCTGGTTCTGTTTGTCGATGGAGTTGCGTGGTGAAGCCATGGTTGACAATGATCTGGTCTCACTCCTTGGTACTCTTGCTCGGCACGGAGAGACAATGCTCTGATATACTCGCGTCGTTGGAAGCAGCTCATGTGTTCACCAGCATGAACATATGAGATGCTTCCAACGGGCGACATCCGAAGCCCAGCCACGAGGCGCGAGCCAAGCCGCTACTTGGAGTACTTCTCCAGTACTCCACACCTGGCGTCGTGCGGAGAAGAAGAGCGGCTAGTCTCTCGTGCAGGAGGATGTCTCACGGTGTAGAGAGGACGTGGTGAGGAGGATTTCTTCGCTGAACGGAGACTGTCCGTCGGACCCTCTCCCTCCTCTGAGCCCCTCCTGCGGTCCCAATCCCGCTCTCTTAGCCCTCCGCAACGGCAAGAGTACTGTATCTTAGGCCCAAAAGCCCTCGGTTGAGGTTACTCAAGATTACTCTGGCGGAGGTTTGTTTATGTAAAAGGAGGTTTATGGCCTTCTTCGAGCGAATGTTAACATGCCTCGATTTTTGCAACGGTAATGAAGCAAGAGAAGAAAGAAAGAAAAATACATTGGCATTGCCAAATACGATTCGAATCAGAATTCTAGGCCTCTCCACCTCCCAAGATATGGCTGTGCCGAGAGTCCCTCGTCGAGCCAATACCTAGAAAAAACAACGCATATCTGCCACAGTTGGCCTTTTGCTTCGCGGCTTTCCCAATGAAGTTCCGATCCCTCAACCGCTTACTCAACAGCTCGATTGATCCTCTGAGCTGGACTCCGGAGGGAAAGTTTTGCAGCCAATGTCGCTGGCGCACATGCTGTTGCCATCGGCAGAAAAGCACGAGGTCATGAAATGACCCTTCGGATCCGCCTCCTGCGCCTTCTTGTTGAATTCTTTCGCGAAATCCTGAGATTTGGTCATTTGGCCTCCTATGCACTAAAATCCATCAAAGTCAAAAATTAGCAAGAGTTCATCGGTGATGTTTTTGCTTCGCCCAACTTACGGCGACCGTGCTCCCATCACCACAAGGGCCAAAGCCGCCATCAGCTTTGCCGCCAAATGATGGACAGATTTGTTTTGTGACACCAGCGGCGTAATCATCGGCAAGTTGGGTGTCGAGGTTGTATAGCACACAGTACTGCTCGCTGTCGCTTCCAGAACCGCCTTCTTTCTGGCTTCCTCCGTCTCGTCGAACTACTCGGCGATCGATACGATAGACGGGACCTGGCATGGCGGCGGCCATTCCCACGAGGCTGGCTCACAAAGTTAGTCTCTCTATTACGATGTGCTCTGATTTAGTCTTACGTCAAAAGAGCGAAGGACTTTGCGGAGACCATCTTTCTTTATGGCTGGGGAGGAGAGAGGAAGAATAAAAGGAGTGTCGGTAAAAGTGTCGATGCAGCGTTGCGCTAGGGAGATGAGTGAACGAGAGACTGATTGTAGAAGAGTGATATTGGTGTTGCTACTGTGCTGCACGCGTGATGTTAAATATATATTACTATGACCTCCTTCATCTCCTTGTCTATAGGCATTGGGCGGAGTTCGCATGCTGGGCAGTTTGTTTCAAATCCGCAAGTGCTTATGAGGGTTCATGGTCTAGGTAGATTGTCGCAGGGCAACACCGCAGGTAGTCTAAACGACAAGCATTCGAACATCGCCATTGTGGTCGACCAATTCTACGCGCTTATCGAATAAACCGGCTGTGAAGATCACTGGCGAGACAGCTGTCTGCACTATAGACACCAAGTAGCGCGGAGTAGGGTGCCGAAATCAAAAATGCTGACCCGAGTTTTTGCCTAGAGTGTCATCTGATCGTTCATGTGCAGGCTTCATTGTACAAGCCCTGTAGCACAAAGCTTATATCCCTCTACGGAGGTCGATCTAATCAACCATACCCGTTCCAGGAAGGCTTTGCACTCCGAGAAGATGTCCGACTGGTTGAGTCGAGCTTTGCGGAACCCAAAGTGGGCTGCAGGCCTGCATTCATCTGGCTAAGGTCAACCCCATTTTCCGGGTCATGTGGTCGTTCCACAGCACAGGATCTCCGTGTCTGACCATTAGCGATGAAGCCTTGCAATCGAGTCCGACTGTTGGTGTTTCCAAGTGCTGTGACAAATGGAGCTGCAATCGCAGTACTACAGTGGCGCGGCTCTTTCACCCTCCGCAACAGCAAGAGTACTGTTGTAGATTTGCAGCAAGTCTCTCAATTTGCGCGGCAGTTTCTTCTCGCCTTCGTGCTCGATATTGATCCGTTGAGCATTGCAAATTGTCGACACAGCCTTTCGCATAATTGTAGCGGCGGGGCTTCGTGCCGAGAGGTAGCTGAGTAAGGAGAGAGCAAGAAGCTGCACATTGCGGCATAGCATAACGCCTTCCGGCATGTCTTGAATTCCAGACTGCAAGCAAGTGCACATGATCGCTACAGCCGTGATCTCGTATGCATCTAGGATGGACCAAAAGCCGACTTCTTCGTCCTGGCGCCTTTCTAGGGACTGTAGCCATTCATGGGAAGCGTGAAGCGCAGCCTTTGCATGGCGATCTTTCTGTCTGAGGGACTGCTCGTTGCTGGCTGTACGCAAGTGCTGAAATGCTACGACATGAAATCGGATCCGGAGTTGCAAGAATAGAGGATCAGAGCCCTCAGTCGCCGATGGTGTGAAGTTCTTTAGTGTAGTTGAGTCACACCACGATTCGTATGCCGTGGTGAAGTACATGGCTGGTCGGCCAGTGCTTCTTCTCAGTCTAGTCAGAAGGCGAGCATGCTGGAGCTGCTCCTTCAGCAACTGAATGTCTTCTCCAACCCAGTCAGGTTTGGGCTCGAAGGTCTGAAAATCGTCAGCAGGTCACCAGTGGTCATGATGCAAAGGCGTACTTCGGGCGATATGTCACCATCAGCTATCTGAGCTGGCTGACCGAGAACGAAGCTGATCGAACTGAGGACATCAGCCAAGCGTCCGATTGCACATTGTAGCGTGCTACTGCTTACCTGTCCAGAACATAGAGTACAGACATTATCCGCCATTTCTCTTGACTCAGATCTTGAGACTGCGTGCGATGGAAGCCTAGCGCAATAGCTTTGGCCAGTGCCAATCCAACAAGATACGATGCAGATTCGACATTTATCCCATAAAGTGCATTGAGTGCCGCAGCTACAAGACATTGCATCGAAGAGACGGCATCTGTCTCTCGCGTATTCGTACACAACTGCAGCAGGGCTGAGCGGGCCTGAAGAGCAAGCAGTTCCATACTCGGAGAAGCACCATTTTTGTTTGAGCCCGTGGAGATGATGAATGCCATCAGCAGAGCACTGTAATTACCGGTGGCTTCAAGACCCTCGTCAACGAAATTTTCATGATGTTTCTTGAGTGTGGTCGAAGCAATGAAGGGATAGGTGCGGAGCACATGTCTTTCGTAGTCTTTAACGATCGATACTACGAGATCGAATGAGAAGTTACGAAGCTCCAGCAAAGCAGGTAATGTATCCTGGGATGCATCAAGACTGACTGAGCCAGTATGTGCCCATGATGTGGCACGCTGAGCCAGACTCCAAAGCGAGAAGGGTTGCGCCGATGACTGATTTCCTGTCTGATCACGAGGCGTTGTGTTGAGCCCGAAGTGTGTCAGATCGGCGAGAGCGCTGTGGACTGACACGTTATCGGTAGCGTTATGCGCATTACCAAGTTGATCCGCGTTGCTTGGAGCCACTGGTGCGGAAGAAGGTGAGCCGGTTCGCTGCCTCTTGTGTTGACGCTGGCTATCAAGCTGAGTGATACTCCTCTTCAGTGTCTGGACATAGCTTTCTCCGGCAAGAAATGTATCATCTGAGTCATTGCCATTGACAGTGCGAGGCCGGCATAGAGTGCCTGCTTCCTTGCATAGTGTGCACGTGGGGTCCTTCCTGTCGCACTTCTGCTTTCTCTTCCAGCAGCGTTCACACGCTAAGCGTCGGATTGCCGAGGTGGCAGTATTCCCAGAGGCCATTATTTAGTGTCTTCGGCCTCTCGGGCGGTGGAATTGCGAGATGCGGAGTTGTTGTGATGTCTTTGCACCGAATGCTAGTCTACTGTGAGGGCCTGGCAAGCGGACATCGTCCGACGGAGCTGTTCCGACCACAGCCCCAAATGCGAGGATCCCGGCTGTCCAATCATCCACAGCCAATGTTCCTCGACGAGTTGAACGAGTCGCGTTGGACAGTAGACGGCATATTGGTAGGACTTCTCCTGCACTTTCGCATTTCGATCTTTTGCACTTCGCGGCATTAAATTCCTCACCTCGTCAAATCCACAAGCAAGCATACCACTCACGAGCTCGACGACATGACACAAGAAGTGACTTTGGCGAACTCCTTGCGAGAGAAGCTGCTTCGCAATGAAGTAGCTTCAACTCTGAGCGTCAAACTCGTCAGGTCAGTCGAGTTGCCCATGATGGCCAAGACGGCCGGTTTCGACGGGATTCTCATCGACATGGAACATTCCTCGTTCGACCTCGACACGACCGGCCAACTCTGCATGGCAGCGCTATATGCTGGTATTACCCCAATCGTCCGTGCACCGAGCAAAGATCCGTTCTTTGTTTCACGCATATTGGATGGCGGAGCTCTGGGTGTGATTGTGCCGCACATTCGATCAGTGCAAGATGCGAAGGACGTTGTGGCGGCAGTAAGTCGTCGAATGCATTCGTGGAGAAGAAGCTAGTACTGATTTGAGAACCAGGCCAAGTTCCAGCCTGTGGGCCATCGATCATCGACGAACGGGCTTCCACACTTCCAGTTCCGATCAATTCCAGCTAAGGTTGCGAATCCTGTTATCAATGCGAACACACTCGTGATTCCAATGATTGAGACGCTGGAAGCACTTGAGCTAGTTGACGAAATCGCCGCCGTTGAAGGTGTCGACAGCTTGTTGATTGGCACCAATGATCTCACAGCCGAAATGGGTATTCCGGGGCAGTATGAGCAGGAGCAGGTGACGGAAGCATACTGCAGAACGATTGCTGCATGCCAGAAAGTTGGCAAGTGGGTTGGTGTTGGCGGGTTACATGCGCGATTGGATCTTGTCGAGAAGTTTTGTGCAATGGGTGCCAATTGGGTCATGGCTGCTACTGATGGACCATTACTGCTAGGTGGGGCCACGAAGAGGGCCTCGGAGATGTTGGCGCTCAATGAGAAGGTTCGACGCCCAGCTGCGCGGATGAATGGAGACGTAAAGCACGATAACGTGCAAGTAGCAGTGGCCGAGATACCTTCACAGATAGTTTAGATAGTAGTAATTCTTGGAGTACCGCATCTGTTGAAGCAGGACATAGCGTCACAGGATCCCATCATGCGATGCCACGAGGCCCAATGGATGTTTGCCGGCGTAGGAGGTCCTCGCGAACCCGCAACGTGCGAGTAGCGGTAGCTGCGCCGGCCTTCACAGATGTTGTGCAGTCTCCAGAGGAGTGGCGATCGATGATCTCAATGTGCGGTGGGCACTTTCCGACACGGCCTCATCGGACGAGGTCCGCTCTGTTCGGGAGTCATTTTCTTGTTGCATATTGTTCTCTTCAAATATATGGGCTCAGTGAGCAGACTGTGCAATTCACACAGCTATCCGCGAGTCACCCTGAGCCTGGCGAAAGTTTCAACAGTTCAACATGGCTCTCGCACGCATCGACTCACCCCAACGCTCCACGGAGTCCCATGAGCAACAGCGCCCTCAGCTGTACATGATTGACAAGTTTCATCCGGAAGCGGTAAAGCATGCGCAGCAACTGTTCGACGTCGTTTTGCCCACCAATCCTGAGATCCAGAACTGGGAGAACAATGCGCAGTACCTCCTCGTCAAAGGATCATATATCACAGCCAGTCAGGTAGCGGTAGCTAAGAGACTTCGAGCCATCGGAAAGCAAGGCGTCGGTTTAGACAAGATCGACGTGGAGGCCTGCTCAAAGGCGGGGATCAAAGTGTTCAACACTCCAGGCGCGAACGCAGGATCGGTCGCGGAACTCGTGCTCGGCTTGACAATGGCTGTGGCGAGACAGATAGGCTCGATACAGGTCGAACAGCATTCCGGACAGCTCGTCCCCAAGGAAACGTGTCAAGGTCAGACCGTGCGAGGAAAGACCTTGGGACTGATAGGCATGGGCAACATCAGCAAAGAGGTTGCTCGTATCATCCGTGGCGCATTCGATGCAGATATCGTTGCTTTCGATCCTTATCTTCCGACTGGAGCATGGCAGGATATTGAGCATGTTCGCCTGAGTACTGTGGAAGAGGTTCTGCGTGCAGCAGATATCTTGTCGATCCATGTTCCGTTGACCTCGGAAACACGAGACCTTATCCGTCTGGCAGAGATGCGACTGCTTCGACCGACCTCGATCATCATCAACGCAGCAAGAGGCGGTATCGTCAACGAAGATGATCTTGCAGTAGCTTTGGAGGAGGGTATCGTCTGGGGAGCGGGCCTCGACTGCCACGTGGAAGAGCCGCCGTCAAAGGATAGATATGGTCGTCTGTGGAGGCATCCGCGGGTAGTCAGTACGCCGCATATTGGCGCCGCTACTTCGGAGACGCAGCGAGATACTGCCAAGGCAGCCATCGATCATGTATACCACTATGCAACGGAATCGCGGTTCCAAAGATAGCCAAACTATTCAATCCCATCTGCAGACATGTTCCACGACAGTGGGTTGAGAAGTGGGTCCCACGTGAAGTCGCCGGTCGCGAACTGGCCCACGTATGCTTCCATGTCTGCGAAAAGGTGTCCAGGAGAATAGGACCAGTCAGTAGGCATGTCCGGCCAAGTGTCATGAGCGTAATACATTACAGCTTGATCGAAGTCTCCATACGCTGCATTGTTCAGACCCGATGGCAGTGGGAATGTGCCCGTGGAGAGATGTTCCCGCCTCGACATGTCTGGATCATTCGCATGCAAAGCTTGCCAATGGGGCTCATATGTCGTCCAGTTAGGGAATGCCGCTCCACAGATCAAGCCAAACACCTTCGCATATGGCAGAGCATCTTGCATTTCATGACCGAGACTCTGCAATAATCGATGACACTCCATCAGCGTTGCCATAGTCTCTTGGTCTTGGGCTGCGGACGCTTTATCGGAATGGTCCGGATGTTCATTTGTGGAGAAGTATGCCAACAACAGGCCGGCTGTGAAAAGAATCTGGAAGTAGTGACGCGTGCAATTGATCTGCTTGGTCCAGTATAGCCCGCTGTAGAGATGAATGACCTTCGATGCAGAAGAGCAGCAGATATCACAAAGCTCTGTTGGGCGCGATCCGGTTCTTGAGTGGATAGCATCAATGGCGCCACGAACTAGGAAGAGCTGCTCTTTTTCAGCAAGGAACTCGTACCATTCCTGCATTTGGTAGAACGTCTCAGCGTGGAGATAGATTGGACTACGCTGCCGCCACATTTTGATCTCTTCGGAAAGCTTTTGGTGAATGTCGAGAAGCTCGCCGAACACGGTCATCTTCGTATGAATCGACAGTTGGGCGGATGCTCGTTTGGGTTTCGCGAAAAAAGTGGTCTGTATGCGGGAGGATATCTGCCGCAACTTGATGAAGGCAATGAATACGGCCATGGGCGACTCCATGACAGCATCAGCTCTGGGCTGAGCAAGACCATCGAACCCCTCGAATTCGGTGCCGGAAAGAGCTGCTGGTAGGTCCACCTCAATGTCGTCGTCGGCTATGGCGAATGGCCGTCCTAGAATGGTTGACATGTGACGATCTGTTACGTAGCTTTCCCAGAACAAAATTCTGCGATGCTGTTCTTCGGAGGACCTGAGCGGGATCAATGGCTTGAGGTGTAGTTCCATAGTGATGCATAGATGCATGCAGATTCGGCCAATGTCCCAGGTGGACACGCCTACAGAAGATCAGTATCGTCTGGGGATACGCCTCGACTTTCTCACCAGTGTAATAGTAAACAGCAAAACGATTCAACAACAGCAAATTCTGCAGGGCGGTGATGCCAGAAAGCAGGTTGACATGCTCAGCATGGCGTAAAGCTGACAGAAAAAAGCTGTACGGGTGTTGAGTGAGCAGTTCTTGCCGTCTCAAGCGGACTGCAGAGATGGCACAGATCAGGAGGAACACATAAGAGTCCTGTGAATCCAGCTGTCCAGGCTGCCCCTCCGGATACGCTCGACGCAGCAGGCCTTGAACTTCTGATTTCTGCAGCATGGGACGCTGTACATGCGACTCTTTGAAGCTGTGGCATCCTCAGTCAGTGAGAGATTGCCTCGAGTTGAACATCAGCGTACTAATTGTCGAACATCAAGTGGCCCATGTCAGGGTGTGGCATCTCCGCAGGCGTTTCCACTGGCTGTTGGATCTGCCGCCGAACGAGCAGCTGCCGCAGCCGTTGAGGGTGAAAACGTGGATTGCTCAAGATTGTCTCGAGGACGTTACTGCCTTCCGCAGGAGCAGCATTGCGAGGAGACTGTGCATTATTCTGATCCACGGCAGTTGCATTCACGCTGGTGTTTCTCCCTGCAGTGCTGGAGAGCTCAGCGCGAAGTTCCGCTTCCTGATGCTCCAGGTCGGCGATCTGCCTGTGTGTGTTCAGCGATGTATGTGCCGTTGGCAGAGCGTTGTCGACATGGCATACTGCCGCGAATACTCTTCACCACTGGCGGTGTCGACGAAGGTGCAAGGCGTGTCGGCCTTGACACAGAGCGCACATCGCGGTACAGCCTTGTCGCACGGACGCTTCCGGGTTCGGCATGTCTTGCACGCCGTCAGTTGCGTACGCTCCGCCATTCGGTGTGAAGTGCACGATACGGGATGTGTGTGAAGTAAAGAGCTGTGTGTGAGAGTGTCCACGCCAGCAAGGTCAGTGCCACATGTCCGTCGCCGAAAGAAGCTGTGGACGACTGTGTAGAAGGAACGAGCGTGCGGATTTGGCCCAAAGCGGCTAGCACGTTGGCACCGACCTCCAACACGAGATTGGATTCGGCGTCGATCATGAAGAATAAGTTACACCGCTAGCTGCCTAACTCAGGAGTCCGACATCACCTCTCCCACTACTGCACTCCACGCCACCGATATCACCTCGCAGCACAACAACACAAACAACCAAGCACCCATCAAGCAGCGACAAGCCGATAGAGCTCTGCGCGAAAGCTGAAAACAAGGCAACAACACCCCAGCTGAACCCCTGGCGACTAAACTCCCACCACCGCTCCACCAGCGAAAGGCGACCACAATGTCTCAAAAACTCCCTCTCTACCAGGAAATCCCGCAGGGCCAACATCCTAATGTCGCCACCAAGAAGCCATCCAGATTCTCGCGCCCACTGGGCATCACCATAGCTGTCCTATCTCTCCTTCTCATGGGCCTCTGCTACATATCGCTCGTCTCCCACCCAACAGGCTGGAGCATGAGCACAACGGAACCTTCCGATGCCAAAGAGTCTCAAACAACAGTAGAAGACCTCTCTCCATCAGAAGACTTCAGCTTACCTCCCGCATCTCTCTCATCATCACCCGAAGCGGAAGAATCCGCGTCTCTAAACTGCAAAATTGGCGACCTCTATGGAAGTTGTCTAAACGACATTCGCTTCTTCCAATGCACGCCTGACGGACCTTTGACGCATCCTTGCCCTGCTGGCCAGAGGTTTTACTGCACAGGCGAGGGAACTGGAGAATGTGCCCCAAGGCATACAGATGCGGGGGCAGGATTCGAGATGGTTTGCCACGGAAAGCAGGAACTGGGCGCTTGCAGGAAGAAGGCCGACTGAAGTGAGCAGGAAAAGTGAGATTTTTATGAGTGCGAAAGTGAAGGAAATGCATTTCGACAATTCAGTTCGACAGAAGGAAGAAAGATACGACGACGGCCTCGCCAGGCTCCCGACAACCCATGTGTGTGTTTTGCTAATGTAATTAACCATCATTATCATCCCGTCATCATCTTCAGCGTCAGCATCAGCATAGCGGCAAAGCATCTACATAGCCAGTTACTATACGAAGGAAAGGCCACAAATTAACAGCCACCACCACCCCCTCCACAGCCTCCACCACCTCCTCCGCCACCGCCGCCGCCTCCACAGCCACCTCCCGCACCGCCAGAAGATCCCCCTCCGCATCCGCCTGAACTACCGCCTCCACAAGACCCGCTTGCTCCCGCACACCCTCCAGCAGCAACGCCCGCTCCACAAGTACCAGAACAGCAATTCCCAGCAGCCCCAGCCCCAACAGCCATACACCCGGGCGTGACAGGATAATACATGGGCATATAAGGCATATAACCCACATAAGGACTATACGCCGGAATATAAACCACATGCCCATAAGCATCACTGTAATAATAATCATCCCTCTTCGGCGGTTTCCTTCCCTTCTTAATCGCCCGATCACAAGCCTTCTGGTAGTGCCTTTCCAATTCATTCGCTTGCTTCTCAGATAGAGTCGAATACTTCGCATCATCGCTCGGTCGAACAGCATTATGTGCTGAGATATGCACACTCTTCGCAGGATCCTGTTCAGAACCATGTAACATGTCGGCTGCTTGGGCTGAAGATCCATTGAAGAGACGAGAGGCATGGCTTGTGTGAGATTCGCGAATGGCTTCGCAGTACCAGCAAGTACATTCAGAGTAAGGTTGGCCGGTGAGGCGGGTGTAAGCTTTACTTGTCCAGGCAAAAGCGTCGTTGAGTTTGACTTCGGCGATTTTGTCGTCGTGGTCGATGAATTGTCTGCATTGAGAGACGGTGTACTCCATGTATTGGGCTGGGTTGAGCTGATGCGTGTGCCAGGCAAGGTCGACGTCGAGGGTTGGGACGGCCATTTTGAGAGGATATTGTCGCATGATGGTCATGAAGTGGCCATATTTTGTGGTCAGGCGGTTCATTGTGCTAGGTAGAGCTGGTGAGTGGAGCCAGTTGATGTGGTGCATCTTCTCGACAAAGCTGCCTTGGCGGATGACGGCAGAAACCAGGTCGAGCGCGAAGGGAGATGAGTTGTCCCAGTATCGGCTCATGAGCTTGCGGATACCAACTCTTTCGTGTCGCAAGAGAGTGGAAGACAGACTGCCTCTCGCCTGTCGCAGGAGCTTCTTGTCCAACATCGCAAGCTCGATCTGGTCCCGAACCGAGCCGAGGGTGTACAGCTCGAGAAGTGATTCAGGTAAGAATATGACATGCTCTCCAGCCTTAATAATCCGATTGGGCATGTCGATCTGTTCGGTCGTGATATCCTTGACTTTATACGCCTTGGAGGGAATTCCGTGGATCCCAAGGATAGTGCCCTTCATTGGGACGTTGCGACTTTGTAGTAGTTTGACGTCGGCCACGAATCTGCCGATTCGCAATGTGTCATGCGTTATGTATTTTCCACATCCCTGGCAAGCATACGCAAAGTCTTTGTCGCAGTAGCCGACTCCATCAGATAGCATCCATTCGACTTCTTGTTCCAATTTAGCAAGGTCAGTCATTCCACTGTCGCGGCCGCCAAACATAGGGTCGGTCCATGGCACATTGGAATTGATTGTCTGGCAACGAGGACACTTTGTCGCCCTGTGCGACTCGTCGTCCAAGTTGTTCCAGGGTCGACTCGTCAATTCGGTGAAGTAAGTACTTGCGCCAGCTCGATCCTCGTAAGCAAACGTCGTAGAGTTGATGGACTGTGCAATAGCCTCAAAAGGCATCGCCGAGTGCCAAAGCTTCATTTGACCCTGACGCAAGCAATCCTCCAGATAGCATCGCGGGTTCAATTGAAAAGCATGCCAGACCATAAGCACATCGACTGGCGGTAAAGTGGCAGCGTCAAAAGAATAGTCCTTGCTGAGATGAGAACGACAAATCTGATCTGCCTTGCCGTACTCTGCCAATTGCGTCCGGTCTGGCCAGTGGCGATCCGGCGAGATGGCATTCCACCACGTCTCGAACCGATCCACTGCTCGTTGGACGTATATTGCCCAGCGCTTCTCGCCCAATTTTGCTAATAGTGCTGATGCTTTGTCGTCCATCGGAATATTCTGGGCCGTGATGACATCGTCTGTGATGCCAAACAGTCCATCTTGGCTCGCGACGGATTGTCTGAGTCGGTAGAAGCACTCGAGCATCTTCAAGTGTGCGATGCACTCTTCGCTCGTAGGAAAGCCATCGCCATGAGATGAAATTTTCAGATTGCTGAACCCGGCGGTAACATCTGGAGGTGGCAGGCCGTTGTCGGGATCGAGGGTTTCGCGCTCTTCGTACACAGGAGGAGCATCGCTCCCAGAAGACGATCGAATGCTGTGTGCTGATTCTGCTGCGGCTTCCTTCTCCTTCCCTGAGAGGAATATTTTGGATAATCTGCTTGGCATGGTCGTAATGTGTGTTTACTATAGCGATGTCAAAGCCATGTGAAGAGTGTGTGTGGGGACTGGGGTAGGCGACCAGGCCTGTTATATAAGGGAAGATAAGCAGGGACAGTAAGAGGCTGACCTACTGTGGCCTCCGATTTGTGCACCAATGAAAGCCATACCTACGGGCTGTGCAGCTCCGGCTGTAATTGGGATTTGATCGTCCGCAGCAAGCCGCAGCATGAAAAGGCTTTGGAGTTTTGCGAATGGCGATGCGTTCTTTGCGATCCTTCGACCATGTACGTCGCTTGATTTGCCGATGAAAGCTTCTAGCGCCGTTCTCCCGCTCCTTCTCCCCCACTTGGCGAGGCTTAGACGTACCAGCTGTCACGGGGCCGTAAATCCCATCGTGCCTTGTGTGCCGTGTGGCTGACTGTGCGGCCTTGAGGACATCTGAGGCCGCAATCTTGCATGCAACATGGCTTCGCTGGGGATTGCAGCTCCGCAGCTAGTCCGAGCTTCATTGTACGAAACGTATGCACTTGGCCAGTCGATCTCCGAGGCTTTCACGTCGCGCACTAGTATGAGCGGTAGCGACAGTGTGGGCAAGCTTCGCCTCGCCCTCGACGTCACACGGCTCTATCCCAAGTCACTTGATACATGTGACAGGTCCTTATTGGCGTAGCCGAGATCGTGAATTAGCTTGAGATGAGTAAAGTGATTGACTTGATTGTGCTGGTATCTCGTACCATGCGTAGCCTGGCGAAAAGTCCAGGCGGCGAGCCTAGCGAGCACTGGTGTCCAGCATATGCTCTTTTTGCTGGCCAGAGATGACTACTACTTTAACCACACTGATAGGCCGAAATTGCCTTCGTAAGGGTTTAACAGAAGGTCCGGATAGTGGCATCGCGTACTGCTTGTGGTCACTCTGGACAACACAGGATTCTGCTCGAGCTTGTGCAAGCGAAGCTTCATCTCAAACAAGCGAGTAAATCAACATGACGCCTTTTCATAGTTGCTTGCCCATGAACTTCCTCTTCTGGAAGCTAAGCCACCACTGTGCGACACGTTAGCTCAATAGCTCAATATACCAAGTATGCCACACTGATAACGACTCCAAGTTTCCACTCACCTTACTCGGCGGCCCATTCGGGTCAGGGTATACGCGGTTCAGCAACCTCACAGCCAACTCTTGCCGCATCTGCATAATGTATTGCCTCAATACCTCGGCCTCATTTCTATCCCTCGGTGGCTCAAACATCTGATTGAGCGGGAAACCCGCATCGCCCGGAATCGCAAATTGTGTCTCCAGAGCGGTGTTCATGACGCTCTTCTCTGCTTCCCGCCTTGTTTGCCCTGGCTTGATTTTTGAAAGTGCTTCTGAGACGTAGAGGATGCCATAGATGAGTACGCGGTCCGCAGGGCCCTTGATCTCGAAGTTGCGGAAGAAGGTGTTTGCGCGGAACAGTGCGAGCACTTCATCGAGAGGGTCGTAGGACTCGTGCGAAGCCTCGATGTCCAGATCGCTTGTTCCGGCTGGTAGGCCTGGAAGTTGCTGTGCAGGTCCGCGTGTGCGTGTTCGGAGTGGAAGCAATGCGAAGTTGCCTATGAGCTGCTGATTGGGCTCGTCCAGGAAGACGGAGTGGTAAGCAGGCATCCTGAGAAGTGACGGCTCCGAGGTAGGGAGAGATTCTGCTTGGGTTGGCGTTACAGGTCCTCAACCGGGCTCGTGTCTACGATGTGGTGAAGTGGTTGAATGTCCAATGTCAACGTCGTGGTGAGAGCGGGACAAGGCAGTCGCATTCGAAGCCGGGCGGCGTGGGACACGAAGCTTCGACCACGAGTTGTGACGATCACTTCGCAAGTCCGAGCGCCAGCCCTGCCATCACCACACCACACTCTCCTCCCGCGCCGCAACACCACCCTCGCACGGCTGCGAGACGGCATCATATCACCAGAAGCTACTCTCAACGACCACTGCGCTTCGCCTCCCACCCCGATACCGCATCTCCGACCGGCCAGGCGCCCTCCCCGAACCACATCGCAATCATGAAGCCCGTAGTATCCGCATTCAACGCATGGACATGGTATGCGCATCTCAGCCACGCTCACAAACAAGCGACGACGAAAGGCTAACAGTCTGGACCTCATAGCATCGTCATCTCCATCTTCGGCATCGTAATCCTCAGCACAATCGGCAGCATGTTCGCCACAAATCACCACAGCATGATGGGGTCAAACGAGGACCCCAAAGACGGGAAAGCCGTCGCAGCGGCAGTATTCGGCGCTGTGATTGTATACGCGGTACGTACAGGACATTTCAGCGAGAAGAGACGGGAGCGGAGATCATTCGAGCATGTTACGAACACTACAGATGGCACTTATCATGAGAGATCGCATCACTAACGACCCCTTCTCACACAGGTCTTCCTCGTATTCTGCGCATGTCAAGCCCTGATGCATAAAAGACAATCTGGACGAGGCGAGATCGCGCTACGATAGAGCTGAAAGTGGACGAGGAGCAACAGCAGCAGGAATAGAATCATAAGCGTGTAAGACAATGCTGGACGCAATCAAAGTCTACACCCTCTCTGCGGAAGGAGAAAAGCGATCGTGGAATGAACATACGAGCGCTCCTTTCGTGGAGAGCAGGAGGAGTTAGGGAGAAATAGAACCGAGCGTGCAAGGTTTGAGGATTTATCGTGTGCATGAAGCGCATTTATCTGTCCGTAGTAGCGTGTAAATCAACGGAGATTATCAACACGATGATCTATGCATCAACTTTCGTTTTGTTGGGGCAGATTCTGTGTCTGGGGGCATCTGGTATGCGATGCGCTATCATATCGCATGCCGAAGTCACGTCTGTCACATAGCACCAACGCAATCACATGGCAAGATCACGCAGCAGTGCCCCACCCAGTCGCTCAGTCAAAATAAAATGGAAGGAGACAGTTGTCGTATGCATTATTTCATTCATGCCTATTCTTCAGGCAGGCTCTCGAGGAGCTATTAGAGCGCTGTCTTGATACGTAATACACTGTTGCCCGCTTGTGAATGCTCCTCGACAGACGGGCACAGACAGAAACGAACTTCATTCTCCCCACGACCTCTTCCGAGCAGTAACGCACTGTGTTACTGTGACTCTTGTTCTCATCCACCCAGGCCGCGAAGGGGACCCGTCATGCTCCACCCGTGTGCTGTTCGCAAGCAAGTTGGGTGTCTTGGAGGAGGATTAAGACCTTGACCTTGAGGAGCAGCCGTCGCAGTGAAGCTGCATGAGGGACATGATGACTTGAAAAGGAGCGAAGGAGTGGCATCGCTCACGCCGTCAAATGGATCGTCTGGTGATCGTTCACGCCGAAGCTCCTGGCGCAACTGGGGCATTTTCTGTTGCGGTTGGAGATGAGATCTCGAACGCAGTTGCTGCAGAACACGTGCCCGCAAGTCTTCAGAACCGTATTCCGAATGTTCGCGGAACAGACTGGGCAGATAGCGACTTTCTGTTGATCTTGTCAGTACATCTTCCAGCAAGGATCAATTCCGGCAGAACTTACCCGCCAATCATCCGAGTCTGCAGCGTTAACGGCGGCTCTGCTTTTACGAAGCGTATCATACTGCTTCTTCGTCTCGTCGAGTCGCGCTTTACACTTTTCCAAGTCTTCTTCGGCTTGGCGTTTAGCTTTGGCCGTTCCAACGACTTCCTTGTCTTTCGCAGACACCAAGGACTTCAATTCTTCAGCGCTCTTCTTAAGACCGTCATTGGCGGAGGACACCTCCTTCAGCTTTTGCTCTGCAGTTCGATATTGCTGTTCCAGCTTCGTGAACGCTTCCTTTGAATCTGCCAGCTGACGCTCGTAGTTGCTGCAGACTTCCTTGGCCTTGGCTGACTCGTCCTTGAGCTGTGTCACAATTTCGCTTGACCGCGCGTTCTGTGACTTGGCCATTCGGAGTTGTGCTTCCTGGGTGTCCTTCGCCTTCATTGCGCCAAAGTACTTGTGATCCGCCTTGGCCTTTTCCGCAGCTAGACGAGCAAGTTGGTCCTCCCAGTTTGCAATATCTTCAATCTTCTTGTTCGCAGTTGTCTGCAGCTTTCTCCATGCAGCTTCGAGAGAAGGCAATTCATTTGCAAGCAGCGAATACTGGTTGGTGAGGGTCTGCACCTTCGACTTTAGTGCGTCCATATCCATGCCGTCCAGATCTGTTCCCGCTGCCTCAATTTCACCAATTTGCAGCTGGAGGCGTTGCACCTGGGACTCCAAAGCTGCTATCCTGGAGTCTTTAGCTTCAGCCACCTCTTTCGCCAATGTTAAGGACGACTTCGGTCCATCCTCTGAGGCTTTCAGTATCGCCAATTCGGAATGAAGCTGATCGCGTGCATGTCGGATGCGCGCTAGATCGGTCTCAGCTCTGGCATTCGCAGCCTCGACTTCTGAAACGTGACTCCTAGTTTCCTCTTCGACTTGCGTTCGAGTGGCAGCCCGCTCCGATTGTAGTTTTTGCGTCTCTTCGCGAAGCTGCTTGTTAAAGGCCTCGAGGTCATTGACTCGCTTGACGACATCCTCGTACATTGACTTGAGAATCTTGTAATGCGAGGTTTCCATGTAGTCGTCGTCCGATAAACTGGCAAGCTTGGTCCTCGCAGCACTGAGCTCATTTGTTAGTCTCTCGTTCTCGGCTTCGATCTCCTCGACTTGAGCTCGTTGCTTTTCAGCGACAGCAAGAGCCTCTTTGCGTAACGCCTCAGCCTCTGCAATATCGACGCCATTTTCGAGCTCGCCATTCGTGTCCGCATGCTCTCGCTTGGGCGTTGCTGCGACTTTCGAAGTCGTGGGAGATGCGCCATCGCCGTTACTACCCATGATGGCTTGTCTCTCCAGCTTCTGCACTTGGCTGCTTTTTGCACGATCCAGTTTCCGTTCAGCAGTCATGTAGCGGCCCATAGCCGCTTCAAGACGCTCATACATGGACTCCTTCTCGTCAATTGCCTTTTTAAGCTCCACTGCGTGCTCCTTCTCGCGGACCAACAGTTCCGCCAGTCGCTTTTGGAGCTCCTCCTCGCCTGGGTTAGAGGCGGATGGTAATTTTGCGAACAGATCCCGGATGGCATTTTTTATGTTTGTGGACCGGGCCTTCAGGTGCTCGGAAAAAGACTCGACATCGTCGAAATTGAGCGCCTTGTTGTATATCTCTTCTCCTAATCATATTCTCAGCATGGTATGTTCTCACGTGACATGGAGGAGTGGTATCATACCGACAGCGGACGTGGCGCTGGGTGGTGGTGTGGGGAGCTCGTCGCCGATTCGAAGTCGGATCTCGTCGAGCAGTTGGGACCACCAAGCGTCGAGTATCCTGAGGTGGTCATCGTGATATCTCGCCTTCCTCTGTAGCTCGGCAAGCTGTTCCTCCGCATCCCTCTTTACGCGCTTATACTCTTTCAGCTGCCGTATCAGCGCATCCTTTTGGTAGTCCTGTGTATACAGAGTCAGTACACGCACGCGGCGTGGAATGTGCGTCGGGCGCCCACGAACCTCGACCTGTTTTTCCTTATCATCATCCATCCGCATCGTAGCGCAATTCTCATCCTTCAGACGCTTGCGACTGGGCGCAAGGTCCTCGACGTCGTTAATCAGCGATCGCTTGCGGTCCTCCATCTCGATCTTGGACAGAGATGGAAAAGCAGGCGGAGCGGCCTTGGTGGCGGGCATTTGGGAGATTAGACGGCATGCACGCTTGCGATGGCCATGTGCGCGCGTCGTCGAGCGCGGATCAGCGGTGCATAAGTCGAGAAAGAACCAGAAGGCGAAGGCGCCGGCGATGCACACGGAGGAGCGAGGGTGGGAGTTGGGTTGCAGACTTTGTCGAGGGAATCAAGAAGAGCGAAGACCTCCTTTCTGAGCCAGTCAACGACCAGAAGCAGCGCTGGCTTGGCGGCGAGGCTGTCCCCGCGACTTTGCTGCCGCACTGAGACAGCTTTGACCACTAACAATGCACACCACCCACATGGACAATCGATAACACCGCGTCTGGCAGCTCGTGTCTGCCTCGATCACACTCGCTACAATGGTGCTGTTCTCGTCTGCTGCGCCTGGCAAAAAGGCCGCGCCCAAGGCAGCACCGCGACGCAGGCCCCAGCCGACACAGGCCGCACCATCAGCCCAACCGCCGCCCAGTCCAGCACAACTTCCAACCAACGCGCAACCGACGCCACCGCCGACCCAGCCTACTGTCCCAGAGGAGACCTCGACGGCCCTCGAAGTGTCAGGCGCGAAGGACGCTCATGCGCCAGCTCCAGATACTAGTCGCGCGGCCGAAGTCGAGCAGGCACGTCCTGAGTCTGCTCAGGAAGTGGCAGTCCAACCGCCTGCACCTGTTGTAGAGAAAGCACCCACTCCTACGCCGATATCTCAGCACTTGTCGACCCCTGCTCCCACGCCCGTTGGCGAAACAACCGCACGATCGACTTCGCAGACTCAGGTGCAATCTGTGTCCCCGCTAGCGGAAACTGGGGCACAGCCTGCCGAAGCATCGCGGGTCGCGCGGGATGTAGAGACGACCTCCGACACAGCAATTGCAGGCGCGCAACAACGGTTTGAAGACTACTATGTCTCTCAGGAATCTGCTGCCACGGTCCAAGCAGCACCTGCAGCACCCTTGAACGCGCCGAAAACGAAGAAAGTGGTACGCGTGACGAGCCCGGTGCAGGAACCAGACGCTGAATCTGCCCCAATCCCAAAGCCTAAACCTGCATCGAAACGAAAGGCAAAAGGTGCAGCATCGAGTGCTCCTGATGGGCCACGACCCGCAAAGCGCACGAGACGTGCTGCCCCAGCTAATGCGACAACAACGCCCGATGCGAAGATCGAGCAGCCAAGCGCAACACCCACTGCCGAACCAGCTCATGAAGGTGAGGTCAACGTACCGGTTGAAGATGAAGCAGCGACACCTCGGCGAAGACAGCCATCTCGAAAAGCGGCGCGAACCAAGCGGAAATCAAACGTCAAAAGCGTCGAGACGATCGTCAATTCCGATGACGAGAACGAGGGGGCAGGTGATGATGCAGTGCCGACTGCGGATGAGCGCGAAGAGTCAGATGCAGAAGTGGATGAGGCCCAAGCAAGACGCAAGAGACAAAAGAGGGTGAAGGTTGACGCAAAGCCTAGCAAGCCTAGAAGACGCAAGCGCAAGGTTCCTCGACCCCCGGCTGAAGGCGGAGAAGAAGATCAGCAGGAAGAAGACGAGGGATCTGATCCAGAGCTTCATGAAATCGACCCAAATGCGGTGTCGATGTGGGATCTCAGTCGTGATGCATACCACGGGAAAATGTCAGAACGTGGCAAAGCGTTGGAAGCCATCGATTGGGAGGAGGAGAAGGCGAAACGACGTGCCGCAGCAGAACTGATCGCAAGTGGAGGGCAACAGGCAGCCGCAGACACCACGACGAATGGCACAGCGGATGGCGTTGTACAGTCCACTGAAGGCCCAAATGGCGTGGTTGAAGGATCAGCAGAGCAAGGCGAACAAACGGAAACAGCCGTCCCCGCCGAGGATGAAACAAATGATCAAGCGAACGCTGACGAACAGCCGACTGCCGCAGATGAGGATCCCGAGGACACCGACAATGTCGGTTTTATGATGGACGAGGATGGCAACATTGTTGTGGATCCCAAGACCATGGTGGTCGATCGACAGGCAGAAGCCGTGGCAGCAGCAGCTGCCGATCGACCAGTAGAGGAAATCAACGATCTTACAACGTTCAACAATCGAACGACCTGGATCAATGAGAACCGCCGAGAACCCACAGATCGAGTACCTTTGTGGAAATGGAAGAGCGACCCGTGGACGGAAGAGGAGACCGACGAGTTTTATGATGCTCTGCGGATGTTTGGTACTGATTTCCTCATTATCAGCAAGATGTTTCCTCCAAAGACGCGACGTATGATCAAGGCCAAGTTCACGCGTGAAGAAAAGCTTGATCCCGAACGAATCAACAGAGCTTTGAATGGTCAAGAGACGCGAAAGCTGGACTTGGAGTACTATGCCCAGAAAACCTCACGAGAAGTCTCCATATTCACCAAGTACAACGGGCTTGAGGATGCTCAAGAGAAAATCAACATGGAGACTTCGGAACGCCATGCCGAGCTTGCCACGGCGGCTGCACAAGAAGAACAGCGCGAAGCCGAGAAACGTCTACAAGAGTCGCTGCAGAAATCAAAACAAGGCAAAAAGACCCGCAAGTCTAAGAAGTCTAAGATGGGCGGCATGGGTGGCTTCGGCGGCGGTGGTGGACCTGAGGATGAAGACTAATGCGCTCGCTCTCGTGAAGACAGTTTCGAAGTAACTCCGGCCCTTGGTCCCAAAAGGCGTGCATGTCTCGGAGAGGTCGCATCGTCATCAATACGTCTGTGGTCAGATTGACATCCAGACACGTCGATGCGTGGCCCGGGATACTGGCGACGCACATTGTCAGTCGGGCGCTGTATTGACCCATTTTCACAGACACCGGTACGTCTTTGGATTCCTACTGGACTTCCGGTTGCTTCGCAACACGCAACAGTTCTGCTCACGTCGAACACACTTCCGTGGCGCCGTAATGATAGTCGCTCTATCAAAGAGGTTCTCTACGCGTCAATGGTCTGCACGTGGCGGATGTCTCTCGCGCATGTCTTGCGTATTTCCACTTTCATCTCGTTCTCGAGACTGTCTCATACAATCAAAGAAAGGCAGCGTTAGCTATGTCTTGTTGTCGGCAAGCAGCTACTTCCCTTCAGATACAAAAGGTAGGCCCAAGTACAGCTTTCTCTTGGTCAAGCAGGTCTTCAAACAGTTCATACTCTCCCACACTTCACTTCACACTCGGACTGCTGGTCAGTCTTCTTCGCTTCACACTCGCAACAACTTCATCTTGACTGCTGGTCGGTCTTGCACAATCACAAACTACACCTTTCGACTCTTCGAGCTTCAGTCGACCTCATCTGGACTGCTGGACGGTCTTGCAAAATCATAAACAAGTCAAAGCACCTTCGTCATCCCACAAGTCATTCAAACATCAGAACAACATGCCTGGACAAACCACACGAAACCTACTCAAGCACAACGGCATCGGCAAGAGACGCCCTGGACCCACTACTCGGGCCAGGTCCGTAGACATACCAACTCCATCATCCGCCAATCCATCTGCTATCGACCTTGAGCACCGCGAACAAGACCAATCAGACCAGCACGAAAGCATATTAACTCCTGCCATTCCGACTCCGTCCTCCATCGGCGTTGAGCACCATGTACAAGACCAATCAGATCAGCACGAAAGCATGATAACTCCAACCATTCCGACCCCGTCTAACATCGGGCTTGAGCATCGCGAAGAGGACCAACGAGAGCAGCCCGAGAATGCGCGTCGATCGGCGTCAGTACACCGACATGTGTTCGAGCCGGTCGACTTGACCAAGAGAGAGCAGAAAGTCGGCGTACAGTGCGGACAGCCTCACTGCACACATGGGCACGTAAGATTCATGAGATGGATTTACAAGTGCACGAATAGGCCCTGCCCAGCTCCTCCGATATGGTGCGCACGGTGCGCTCGAGTTTAAGCTTTGATATGGGCGAGACATGACTGGGAGAGCAGTGCTTTGACGAGGGCTGAGAGATGATGATGGCGATGATGATAATGGTGGTGATGAAGATGAGCTCGTGCAAGCAGCGACAGTAATGTCTGAATTAGAAAGTAATGTGTAATGTAATAAAAGACTGGCTAGTCCAGTACAACGAAGATGTGAACCACTCATTCCCTCCTCCACCGCCTTGATCATCCCACCCACCACCCATTATAAAAAAGAATAAGTTCAATTAGAAAGTGATGCCGTTGTTCGCAACAGCAACGACGATCACCACCAAGCTCGAATGTAAGTCCTTCCCTCCTTCCTTACTAGGTAATAGTAAGCAAAAGCTCCTCCTCTTGACCAGCAGCACATGACTCTCATGCACTACGGCAACCAACTCCGAACCAAGCATCTCTTCCTCCGAGACATCCCACGGTCTACAAGAGTCTCGACTCTCCTCGGACATAAGAACAACACACTACTATGTGATAGTGCGTGGAGGCCCAAGAATGAACAAGGTATAGTCAGGCCAAGCCAAGCAAGCAACCCCATCATGTGAGTAAACATGCGGTGGAGAATGGAGGTTGGGGGTGGAGAGGCAGCCAGCACCAGTAGCAGTGAACAGCAAGGACCGAGAAGGATGAATAAGTCAAAGTGAGACAAGACTTGACAGCGCATACCGCATGTCTGTCACCTTGTGCCTTGTCGTGAGAGGGTGTGCTGCCACTCTTCTGCACGATGTGCCGGGTCGGGGCACCTCCCGATAGATTTCGTCCCGACGCTATCCGGCTTGGACGGGAGCCCGCGATTTGTTACTCATCAATCAGCATCAGCTGTTTTTGCCGTAGGATGGCTGTAGACCGCTGTTGTGTTGCTCGCTTTCGCGGAAAGCGGCTCTTTACGCGCATGAACTGCGGGCAAGAGCTAGAACTTGCTTGCTGGAGCTCGACGAGTGAAGATCGTCTTCTGCTTCGCTCCGCTTCGTCTCTCAAGTCGGTCGCTCGGGTAGTCATCGGGAATGGGGTCCGTCCGCTTGGATGGGTCCTCGCACCCGATGCATCGGTGTCGTAGTTTTCTTTCTGCCGCTGGGTTGCTTGCTGACTCTTGGGGTCGTTCCTGCCTCGGTTCGCATTACCATTTCGGTTGCACAGTTGCGTATACACAGTCGTGTACTTTGTGTGCAACGCTGTTGGTAACATTGTCGCTTTTGGGGTATCACAGCAGAAGAATCTCAGATCCGGGCAGTGTGTTCCTCAGCCTCCCACGAAATAGTGATGTAGTGGAGGAGTCGCGTGCGCGTCGGCAAAAATCACGTGGTGTGCCTCTCGTTCCGGAATCCTTCCAGTTTCCTTTCATGGATCGCGATCAGGACTTCCTGGTCAGTGGCTCTCGGGTCGATAAATCCCTCAATGCAATCATCAGATCATCATCAGTCTCCGTTTAAACATCCGGTATCATCGGCTATGTTGGTTGGAGACCCTCGCAGGCTAAATCACGTCCTTCGTGAAGCCTGGAGGTCGTCGAAATCAGGGAAGGAGACGTAACCGTCGCGCTTGACTTTGCAATCTTCCCAGCTGGTCCGGCGCCCAGTCTCGGATCTAGGTGATGGTAAAGGACTTGATGACGCGCTTTTGCGACCTGGTGATGTCGCTCGTGATGCGACACTGGCGAGGACTAATGATGCGTTCACTGGGAGAGAGCCCATGGGATCACGCTTCACACTGTAAGATTCTTGGCGGCTCAGATGTGGTGGTGCGCTAGACTTCTTCAGCGCGGATTGGGAGATCTTGACTGCCATGATGGTAAGGTGTTGATGGGTTATCGTCAGTGGTGTTTGGCCAGGCGATGAGTATATAAACCGATCAGCAATACTGATGATCGAGCTGAAGTGATCAGCGAGTTGTTGATGGATGCGGTTGGGGCGAGAAGCAGCAGGTTGAGGGCATGTTAAGAATGGAAGTACCTATTTGCTTATACACGGACGGATACGTAGCCATGTAACCAGTTCGTACTGGCCTTACGCCTGCATGACGCCACGAGCAAATCGGGTTCGCTTGCGTGTAGCAACTTGGGCCTCCTGGCATGGCAGTAGTTAGTCCGCTGTTCGCTGTCAGGATGCCGGCCTCGACCTCCCGTCGAGCCTCTTGAGCTTCCCGCCCGTCAGAGGCTCAGAGGCTCAGCAGCGCGCAAGACCGGCAAGCCGAAGCTAGTCGCGTGCTGCGTGCGTTGCGAAAGAGGGAAAGCTGTGCTGGCGAGAGTGGAGCTGGCAGACGGCCAGACCGGGCACGCCGCGGGCCTCTGTGTCGCTGCCTGTCCTGACTTGTCCACTCACACCCGCCCACTCACCGCAGGCTGACGACTGGATCCAGGTGGCTCAAATCGTGCTCGCTGCCCGCCCGACACCTGCGTCCGCACCCGCAGCAGCCCGCCCTGGGCCATGTGGGAATAGAGTTGGGCGCCCGCTGGCAACCCGCATGCTGCAGAGGCGGTGCATCTTCTCGTCGCGATGTGCTGGGGTTTGGGGGTTGCGTGAGCTGAACAAGTGCCGCTGATTGACGAAGAACCTGCAGCTAAGCTGCGATCATGGGCGAACGCGCTGGAGCCGCCGCTGGGGAGTCGGGATGCCAGCTCTAGTGTGTATTGGGACTAGGTGGTAGCTCGCTGGGAGAGAGTCAAAAAGGCGGTGGTATCCGACAAGCACTTGACGATCCATGAGGCCGTTTCACTCTGCATCGATTGATTGCTGCGCTGCTGCCACCGCGCCCGCACAACGTGTTCACCGACATGACTGACGACTGTGGCTGGCTGACTGCCGTCCGGCAACGTGGACCCGGTGCAGACGGCGTCGATGGTGAGCGATCACGTCGCAGAGAGCCACGCACGCTGCTCGACACTCCCTTTTCGGCAGCGAGCCGCGCGTAGGCCAGTCTGGCTTCACACGCCCGTGAGATGTAGGGTTCGAATACTTGCAAAGCTACGAGCTCGCTGCGGGGATTAGTTACTGCTGCTGCTGGATCAGCATCCATGTTGCAAACGGAAAACGCACCGAACAGCCAAAGCAGGCAGTCAAGTACCTCAGGGTACGACAAGGTCTACCCATCTCTACCCTCTCTACTGTACGCCCGAAGCTTCTTGGAGACAGCCACTAGCCGTCTCCTGCGTTATCGGTACTTTATGTTCCGAGAAATGGGGATGAGTACGAGGTACATCACAAAGTGTTGACAAGCATGTGAATTTCCGACATCAAGAGCTGAAGTACAGAGTGGAGGGCAAGCGATCTACAGCGTGTCGTCTGCGGACTGTGAATCGAGACTGCTCTCTGGACATCGTTGATCTCTTCATCTTGATCTACGGTCCCGCCACAGCTTCTGCACATAATACAGGTGCTCCATGTTTGCGCACGAGCGATCTGCAAAGCTGCAGCATCGGCACCGTTTCAGCTTTGATCTTGCTAACAAGAATGTCATCGCTGCAATAGCTGCACAGAACAGCAATCACGATCAATGCTACAGCAATCTTGGTCAGCTTACCGCTTCGTTGAAGGATGGTCGAGTGGCATGTGAGACTTACATCGACATCTTCCCAAGCTCGACCCTTGACGTTCTCGAGTTCTTCAACTGTCATGATCTTTCCTGTTGTGACTAAAGAGCGTGTCAGCCTTCCGTCCATGGTTGAAGATCCCATCGACTTACAGTAACCGGCATGAATCTTGGCATCAATCTCTACTCTGCTGTCCTCCGGAATCATCTCATCGGGAATCGGTACTCTTTCGTGAATTGGAATGCCCTGCTCCACAATCGCGTCATGCTTCATGTTAGACATCGACAACATGCGGTCAATCTTGGTAATGCCCAGCCAGTGCAGAATATCCGGCATCAGCGCCTGGAAACGCATGTCCTTCACACCAGCGATGTTCTCAGTGCGCTTGAAGTACTCACTCGCCTTGTCTGAGCCACGTTTCCGTGCATTGTAAACCAGGTATTTCGTAACCTCACCCAAAGCACGACCTTCCTTGCGGAAATAGATGACAACACCGCTGCCACCTTGCTGTGCTTCCTTCACTGCTTCCTCGATACCGAAGATCAGATAAGGCCGACACGTGCAAATATCTGAGCCAAACACGTCTGACCCATTGCACTCGTCATGGACTCGCAGGGCAAGCTTCACATTCGGGTCGCTCATCTTCTTTGGGTCACCGAAGCAGTAGACCGTCAGGCCACCGATTGGAGGGAGAAACAGCTTGATGTCGTTCCTTGTAATCAGCTCAGGGTAGCTTCCACCAGTGTGCTCAAACAGGGACCTGCGGAGCGTGCCCTCGTCGATACCGAAGCGCTCTGCCACGCCTGGGAGGTACCAGACCGGCTCCACGGCGAACTTTGTCACGCTGAGCTCGCCAGAGGCATTCAGGCAGATCTTTCCATCTGGTACGAGGCGGCCTTTGCGAACACTTTCTTCAAGCTCGGGTAGGATCATGTGCGCTTTTGTTACTGCGATTGTGGGCCGGATCTCGACATTGTCGTCTTTGATGTAATGGTTGTAGAGCCATGGAGCAAGATGTCCCCAGGGATCCATTGCCACGATTTTTTGGGGGTCATACCAGGTCGGGAACGGACCGATCGTTGCAGCTGGCTCAGTATTGGTGAAGTCTGGTTTGTGCTCTGTATCCATTTGTTTACTTGCAACTGCAAGCGCATAGTAGATGCTGTATGAACCTCCATGAGCTCCAATAGCATTACGTTTCCGGATAGTAGAAGGATTGCGTGAGACTACTACTGGACCACGTTTTGCAGGGTCTCGTGAACCCCATTCCATCGGCAATGGATCAACGCCAGCTTGGCCGGGATACGAGGTGAGAATGATTTTGGACGTCGTTAAGCTCGTTCTTCGAGGGCCTGGAGACGACGATAATTGATCTGCAGGAGTGCCGTTGGGATCCTTTGTGCGATCTTCCCCTCCTCCGATGCTGTCTCGCTTCTGCTGGCTTCGAGGAATGAGCTTTGGACTTGTTGGACCTAAGCGAGGGCTTGGATACCGAGCATCATGTGCGATGCCATCCTGTGCTTGCTTGACGCCGGCTAAGGCGTTCACACGGCCGTTGATAGACTCTACAGTGGAGCCCAAGGAGTTGTGGTTTTGCCGCAGGTCTGTCTGCCCATGTTCTAATGCCGTGAGCTTGTTCAGGATGATGTCCAGTTTGTCGGACAGATCTGATGGTATAGCTGTCATTTCGGATGTCTTGGAAGGGATGCCACAGTTCGGGCCACGTAGTTGTCTGGTCAGATGGGGAACGTGATATGTGAGTAGAGACGGTAAGAGAAGTACACGGGCAAGCAGGAGCTGGTGGCACAAATGTCACGGGAATTGCTTGTGTAGCAAAGGCGAGTCGAATGAGGCTGATGAGTGAGATTATAGCAAATAACTGGTTGCTGGGCAGAGGCAGACGGTGAACGTTTGATAGGCCACCGCGATAGCCTGTCGTAGGAGCTCGCCGCTGGTGGGGCACGTGAGATGCATCAGATGAAGCTGTAAGGCTGAATAGAACCTAAAGTTGAAGGTCAGTGCACGCAAATTGACCAAAGCTTCACCAGCCTCGAGCATCATTCCTGAACATTCACACAGCAACCCACATTGCCTCGTCGCACTCCTCTTTGACACTCCATCCACTCTCCGATCTCACAAACACAGCATGGTGAGTCGCGCCATCCATGCGATTGCGCGCAGGAAAACTGACGGTGACAGGGCAAACGCAAAGCAGCCAAGCGCGAGGGGCCCAAGAAGAAGGTACGCCGCTCACCTCTGCGCGAAAGACTGCGCGAGCCGTTAACTAACATTACTATATAGAAAGAACCACTTGCGACGCAATTCAAATGCGTCTTCTGCAACCATGAGAGCTCTGTCACCGTGAAAATTGACAAGAAGCTGGGCCTGGGCAATTTGAGCTGCAAGTCCTGCGGCCAGGGCTTTCAGACGAGCACAACGTGTAAGCGGCCGCTGAGCACATACTATGAAGGACATTGCTGATCTGTACTAGATTTGAGCTCACCCGTCGACGTCTACTCCGACTGGATCGATGCTTGCGAAGCCGTTGCGAAGAATACCGCCGACACCGCGCTGCCTGCGTCTTCGATGCACCAACCACATATCACGGCCTCCTCACGCGCCGGCCTCGCACCTGGAGAGAAATATACAGATGAAGATGCTGGTTTCATAGATGATGATGATGCGGACGCGGAGGCGGATTATGAGGGCGATTGAGGAGCTATACTGTTCCGCCAACGGAAAACACCCGGAGCGCTGCTACACGTTCATCACGCGTCACGCTTCCTTGACTGGCGATACCAACTTCGTGTCATCGCGCAAAACAAAGCGCGATCCTTCGTCGTCACGAACTCAAATGACAATGGCGGACAGCATTTCGACCAACACGCATGGACAGGGATTCGGCCCAGGACCCCAGAATAGTTTCGGCCCCAGGCTCGATCGGCAGGGGAAAGTCCGGACAAACTGCCACCTGTAGTAACTTCCGCGATTTTCTCTCAGGTGAGGTGGGTTTCGATGGCAAGTCGGGCGTTGGAGCTGCGTGCCGTTGCCGACAGCAGATATCAGGCTTGCGCTCGGCGTCGCGCGTCATTCCTCTACTCTGTAGCATTGCACGCTCACATGAGCGACGCGCATAAAGCAGCCGCCGAGGCTTCACAAAGCACACGAGACAAAGAAGATTTATGAAACCCCAGGTTACAATGAACTCCAATTTTGGGTGCACCAAGACCGAGGTGCGTGACGACGTGTTTTCTCATCTGCATACCTGCTCGATCAAGTCCATCTGTGTTCATGGAATTCCGTGCTCCTTACCTAACGTCTTCCGTTGCACTTTCACACGACAGCGTTGCTATCGGATCTCACCTGCCTGCTTGTGACAATGTCTAATCACCTCGCAGCCCTCATTCACCCGGTCGCCGCGCACAAGCATTTCATCAGTATAAATTAATATCTTGCAATCTTGAAACTCGCGCACTCACCACACTCACTTGCGCGAAACGCGTACCGCCGCCATGGCGGGAACATCTGCGTCGCGTGCCTCAACGGACTCGAAATCAAACGTCGGCTCAACGAGCAGAACCAGTCCCAGACCAGGCACACCTACGACTCAAACGTCAGAAGCTCCGACCCTGATCCGCCAGTTTCCCAAGGAGCCTAAATTCCTGGAAACAAACCGCGACAAAACCTGCGGAAGTGAGGCTGCACAATGGCGACAGAATTTTGTCAAAGTCATTGAAGAACATACCCACGATATGACGATCGAGGAGCGAACCGAATTCTTTGAGGCCTGTGTCGCGAGGAATAAGGAAAGATATATCCAGACTTTCGCGGCGTATTATGGGAAACATCCCGAGCACATTCCTGAACGACCTGGTGGCGTGAAGAGTGAGAAGCAGCGAGAAGAAGGCATGCGCGAGAACGAGAAAATTCTGGAGAAGCAGAAAATTCTGTTCAAGGTATGGGTCTACTTTTGCACGTTCGCGTGACATCTTCGAGTGGCACTGCTAACTTTCTGCAGGAGTGTTGGTCTTCCAAGCTTGATGAAGAGAACAAATCAACCCCCTTCGACACAAAACGAAGCTTCATACCCGACATAGTGGCCGGCCCACGAGACGAAGCCGATCCCACAGCAGAAGCACCACGATGTAAGCACTGCATCAAAGAAGCGCGCAAAGACAAGTTCCGCAACCCGATGAATAGCCTCAGGAAAGCTTGCGGGATGAAGCCGAGAACTAAGTCTGATGCCGTCCACAGTACAGCGAATCAAGCTGTATCATTACAGCAAGGAGGAGCCAAATCGACAACTACAGCTTCGAGCACTTCTTCTGCGAAAGGAGAGTTCAGTAGCAACAGCGGGAAATCCTCGTTGAAGCAGCTGCCTACAGTCAGGAGAGGAGCAGCGCATGAAGCGTTTTTGCCGCCTACACAGCCAGCGCAGCATGTAGAGCAGCGCGCATAGAAATAGATGCCGAAAATGCTTGTCTTCAAATGTGGCTCTACCCAGCAGTTTTCCCTGTTTGGAGCCGCGGTGGCATGGAAGAGTCTTACAAGCAGAGAAGCAGGAGCAGAAGAAAGATGGATCCTTGTGATTGCGGCAACTCCGTCTATCGCTCCGCTGAGAGACAGCGGCATGACCCTATCGCAGGGCTAGACGAAACGGCAGAGACCTCCTTCTATTTTCACAGAAAAGCAGTACCTGCAGCCATGTTTCTCGGAAACTTTCGAAGCAAAATTCTGGTCGTAGTCAACCCCGTGGCCCGAGAAGCATGCGTTTCTTCACAGAGTGGTGCACCTACAGCCATATCTCTCTGAGACTTCTGGAGCACAGTTTTGACTGTAGTCACTCTCGTGGCTTCGGAAGCATCTGCTTCGACAGAGAAAGCTGTACAGAATGCAGTGTCTCTCGGACACTCCTGTGGCACGTCCTTGACTTCTACTCCTTCTTCACCCTAGAATCCTGAGTTATAGAAGTTGCGATCTTCACCAGATTGGACAGAGTACGAGACTTGGGAACGATACAAAGTTTGCAAAGTGCTGCGTTGTCAATCTCCATAGCAATCTCGACAATGTTCCGATCTACTCTGACGCTGATACACTCTAATACCGGGGGTCTGCACAATCCAGTGGCTACGCGCTCTCGTGCCGTCTATGCACCCCCATCAGCTCTTCTGCGTGCGTGTGCCATTCGTGCTGACCTGCGAGCAACTTGCCTATTAACTCGAGGAAGTCAGTTCGGGCGTTGCGCCGACAGTGTCCGCTGACATGTGTCGTCTTTGGTCGTTCTGCTCTGAGCCGCGCATAACCAGCAGGCATTAATTGTGGGGTCCGATGAGCTGGAAGAGGCTGTCTGCTGCGCTGCTCGGGCTAGGCGCTCGTGGGTCCGACAGCTTCGTGGCCTGAGAAGCCTTCGTTTCTCCAGAGAGACCAGTATCTGTGGCCATATCCCTCTTCATCCTTTGGAGCACGACTTTGACCGTAGCCAGCTTCATGGCCAAGGTATCCTCTATTGATTCAGAGAAAGTCATGCTCTCTCGCGATGATTTCTATCATCTCATATTGACTCGAGAGAACACGTTTTCAACAATTGGGCGCATTTCTCCTATCAGTGGCATTCAGGAGAACGGTCAGTTGGAGAAGCAGTACAGACTTGTCATACTTCGATTGCAAATTATCGAAAGAATCTGGGCCATCTTTCCATCGGTTGGCAGACTCAATCAGCGTTTTGTGGAGAAAAGAGCCACGACATTTTGACTCTGGGAAACTCATCTCAACAGATCCGACAGTATTTCTCCGCTCATTGGCACGGAGGACAACGATTGGTGAGAGAAACAGTATGCACTTCTATGCTTCGAACGGAATCTGGACAGATGGTTCTCGCATATTTTCCTACTCATTGGCAGCGCGAATTGCAATTTTACGGAGAAAAGAGCTGTGTCCCGTCGACTCTCGAAATGAGATCTTCAGACTTTTAGCACATGTTTCGCTCTAGTGGCATCGAGGGGCCAAATCGGTTCGAGAAACAGTATGATTTTCTGTACTTCGGATGGACTCTCGTCAAGAAGGTTCCGTGCATCTTCCTACTCGTTGGCAGACTGATCTGTAATTATACGGAGAAACGGGCTGTTTGACGTCGACTCTGGAATGAAGATCTCCAGACTTTTGGCGTATAGCTCACTGCAGTGGCATCGAGAGGAGTGTTTGGTCAGAGATACAATCAAATTGCTGTAGCTCGGGATGAACCACACGAACAAAATTTCGCGCATTCTATCACTCGGTGGCACACTGAAGCGCAACTATTCGGAGAGAATAGATACAAATGCGAGAATTAACGTTACTCCAACTATATCAATGCGAGAAAAACAAACTCAATCTATGTACTCCCCATTCTATGACTCGGACGGTGCTATCGAGGGTGGCGTCGAGGCCTGCGAAGTCTCTTCTTGGGCCTCAGAAGCAGCGAGAGTCGTCGCGACAGGAGCGAGGTAGGCTTCCATCGCCATCTTTCTGCGCTTATGCGCCGCTTCACAGCGCCTCAGCTCCTCCCAAGTGACCGTGCACTGAGCCTCGCGCCTCTGAGCTATCTGTCGTTTCGTTTGGGCAGAATGCTCACCAGGTGGCAGGAGAAACGCGAATTTGCGGTCCTCGTCCCGAGCATAACGATCGAGATCGGGTGGCAAGCTCAGGTCCGTGTCCTCCTTGCAAGGCTTCTCAGCAAGGTATGCCTCGAAGTATTGGTCGACGCGCTTCCTTTTAAGCTTTGGAGGTTCCAGAGCTTTGCCCGAGCGGCCATGGGCAGAGATACTCGATTTGACCCACTTTGCATCGTTCACCCGTGCTTCCTCCTTGTCCTCCGCCTTTCTCCTCAGCTTCTCCACGTTCGCTGCCACGCCGTGATGCGGCGGCACGCCATCGTCCAGAGCATTATCTTGGAGAGGGTCGGCCAACGGTACCTTCTCCTTGCCCTCCTTGGTCACCAAAACCCAGAACTCCTCACCGGCTTCGAGCTGCGTAAGCTTCACTCGATCGTTGAACTCGTCCAAGTCGATCTTCTTCCCCCAGATCACGTGCGCTTCCTCTTCCGCGTCTTTTCGTGCAGCCGCCTGGATCTTTTGCCTCTGCTGAGGCGTCCATTCGCCGCCTTTGAGTGGCGCGACAGGAATCTCAGGGGCCAGGAGCGATTTGGGGAGATCGTCCGACGCCGCACTGTCTGGGTCCTCCTCGGAAGTGGCTTCGTTCAACTTTTCAAGAACTCTCGCCATTCTCTGACGAGAGCGCTTTTGCTGCTCATCACGAGCTCCATCCAGCTGAGCTTGCAACTGCTTCGCGTTGCGCGAGTCAAACTCCAAGTTATGCGCTTTGTAGACTCTGCGCACGCGGGTAGTTTGGTTAGCGCCATGCCAGTCCAGCTCGATGCTCTCTGCGGATCTCGTCGCTGTCGAATCCTCGCTCATTAACACCTGGCGACATGGTGTATGTGCCTCTGTTTGAGTGTGACGTAATGCTGTGTACGACATGGTGACGAATGTGATGTTGTTGTGCGGTAGATTATTCACGAGATGGATCTGGTACCTGCGTAAAGAGTTTCTTCGCTAATGTGTGTTGGAAGGAGCAGGGGTGTGTAGAATGTATAGCGAAATAACAGTAGAAGAAACTAAAATTAAAGACGAATGCACGTCTGAGCTCTCTATTGGTAGCATGTCAAGTAATGCCATTACTTACTGCATTGTAGTGGTTCTCTACCATTGGGAACTCATTAAGAGCATGGTGATTGGCAGGGGCTTTCATGACTCCCAAAAGTTTCCAGTCCAGAAGTCAAGAATGCATACGAACATTTGGTAAGTTGAGTGAGGCCACGAAAGGTATCCACGCGCTCCTGGTAAAGACACCGGCCGACGACCCCATTCGACGACACCATCCGACTCCCGCTGTGCAGCAGGATAGATCCGCTGTAGGTGCTTGCCGAAGTGCAGTGACAAGCTCTTGTTGCACATCTCGAAGATAGGACTGGTGCAGGACTGCTCGAAGTGTCTTGGCAAAGAATGGGTCCATCAATTTTCTTGGCACGCGCAACTTGAGATTGCGGCAATTAGTTCTCGTGGCCTCATTCTTGAAGTTTGAATCTAGCGTTGGAAGTATCCATGATGCCCATGGTCTGCAGCGAGTGGATCACATTGTTGTTGACATGCCGGCATTCTTCTGCGCGTCTGGCCAGTCCTCGTGATTGGTCTGCCGGGCGCTGATTTCATCCAAGTCAGGCCTGATGTGCTCTACGTCTCGTGCAATATGCAGCATTCAACGTTCGTCTTCTCGCATTCAAAATGCACTGTGAGTTTCTAAGGACAAGCGTGATGTTTGGAACGTGAGGTCGGAGTTTACTGACCGAGGCCGCTGAGCTGCGTTATTGCCGACCAATCAGGGCTTCGCCGAGTCTTGGTCCGCAATGGCGGGCTAGCGTGCGTCTGAGCAGCGAGGAAGACTCCAGAAGGTCAGGCGAAGAATATCGAGTCCGGCCAAAACATCTTCTCCATCTCTCCCATCTTCCTCCCCTTCTCCCCCATCATCAATCGCTTGGAGTCGCGGCGTTGTCATCAAGCTTCTTCATCATGCAGCGCGTTCTCTCATCCACACCCCGAGCTGCGGCTCGTCAGGCGAGAATACGGCCCGGCTCATTGACGCAACAACGATTCGCACACAAGGAGCTCAAGTTCGGCGTCGAGGGCCGCGCTGCTCTGCTGACCGGTGTTGAGACTCTCGCCAAGGCTGTGGCGACGACATTGGGCCCCAAGGGCCGCAATGTGCTGATTGAGTCCAGCTACGGCTCACCCAAGATCACCAAGGGTAAGCTCGAGACGACAGCGACCATTTCCATCAACCCCAACTGACCACTTCTTCCAGACGGTGTGACAGTAGCAAAGGCCATCCAGCTCAAGGACAGGTTCGAGAACTTGGGCGCCAAGCTGCTTCAGGATGTTGCCAGCAAGACCAACGAGGTCGCTGGTGACGGCACCACCACCGCCACTGTTCTCGCCAACGCCATCTTCTCCGAGACCGTAAAGAACGTCGCCGCCGGCTGCAACCCAATGGACCTTCGCCGTGGTACACAGGCCGCCGTCGAGGCCGTCATCGAATACCTCAAGGCCAACAAGCGCGATATCACCACATCAGAGGAGATCAAGCAGGTTGCAACCATCTCCGCCAACGGAGACACACACATCGGTGGTCTGCTCGCTACTGCCATGGAGAAGGTTGGAAAAGAGGGTGTCATCACTGTCAAGGAGGGCAAGACGATCGAGGACGAGCTTGAGGTTACCGAGGGTATGAAGTTCGACCGTGGTTTCATCTCGCCATACTTCATCACCGACACCAAGTCACAAAAGGTGGAATTCGAGAAGCCATTGATCCTTCTTTCCGAGAAGAAAATCTCGGCCGTTCAGGATATTGTGCCAGCTCTTGAAGCTTCCCAGCAGCAGCGCCGACCTCTGGTCATCATCGCTGAGGACATTGATGGCGAGGCCCTTGCCGTGTGCATCTTGAACAAGCTCCGTGGCCAGCTTCAAGTCGCTGCTGTCAAGGCTCCAGGCTTCGGTGACAACCGCAAGAGCATTCTCGGTGATATCGCGGTCTTGACCAACGGCACTGTTTTCACCGATGAGCTCGACATCAAGCTTGAGAAGGCCACCCCAGATCTTCTCGGTTCTACTGGATCTATCACCATCACTAAGGAGGACACTGTTATCTTGAACGGCGAGGGAAGCAAGGACATGGTTGCCAACCGCTGCGAGCAGATCCGTGGTGTCATGGCTGACCCAACGACCAGCGACTACGAGAAGGAGAAGCTCCAGGAGCGTCTTGCCAAGCTTTCCGGTGGTGTCGCAGTCATCAAGGTCGGTGGTGCTTCTGAGGTTGAGGTCGGTGAGAAGAAGGACCGCATGGTCGATGCTCTCAACGCTACTCGTGCTGCCGTTGAGGAGGGTATTCTCCCAGGTGGTGGCACTGCTCTCCTCAAGGCCGCTGCCAACGCTCTCTCCGGCGTGAAGCCAGCCAACTTCGACCAGCAGCTCGGTGTCTCTATCGTCAAGCAGGCCATCACTCGTCCAGCTCGCAACATCGTTGAGAACGCTGGTCTCGAGGGCTCAGTCGTTGTTGGCAAGCTTATGGACGAATTCGGCAAGGACTTCAACAAGGGTTTCGACAGTGCCAAGGGCGAGTACACCGACATGATCGCCGCTGGCATCTTGGATCCGTTCAAGGTTGTTCGCACTGGTCTCTCTGATGCCTCCGGCGTCGCTTCATTACTTGGTACCACCGAAGTTGCCATCGTTGAGGCACCCGAAGAGAAGGGCGCAGCCGGCGGCATGCCTGGAGGCATGGGCGGTATGGGCGGCATGGGTGGCGGTATGTTCTAAACTGCTCGCCCAGCCTGCTCGACCGACCTACACCACCTTGTACCCTGATCTCTCATGATATATGAGTGCGAAGCCATGATACCCATGCCCGACTGGAATTCTGTTGCCGGTCTGTAACAACACTATTTTATACTACTACCAATCGTGCTTGTCTGGATTGTACACACGATGGAAGCCAAGGCGAGAAGGAAAGAAAGCCAGCGAACGTTATACATACTAATCTCCGCTCTGAAAAGAAAGAGAATGGAATGGGTTTCTACCTTTGCATTGGGCGGCGTACGGCACGGCCCCATTGTGAGAGCCCGTGTAAATGGCCATTTGAGACAATTGTGTGTATTATAGTGTCACTGATAGCGTTTTGAAGAAAAGTGGTAGAAATGTGATGGGTGTTCGTCTTCCTTTTCTTCACTATGATGGAGTGGGACTTGGTACTGACTGAGAGATAGACGCTGTGAGCAATGATTCCACTCACCGATACCTCAAGTGGAAAGTCAGCGAATCTACACATCACAAGCTCACACTTGAGATCAAGCGGACCACTTCAAAGCAGCTATGGCACTTCACTTGAAGCCGCGAAATCAAACAGGAGCTGTCCGCTTGGATGCATAGTAGCATCGCTCACTTGAATGCGTTCACTCCACCGCGATCAAAAAGCTCGCACTCATCAACTCGTTTCACAAAACTTCCACCACAGTGACACTGACTTCTTGCGAACATCTCATTGATCTTCACCACGACAGCATTGCTTCCTTCGCCTCTTTGACAACACAGCACTACCTCCACCGATCTATCCACCGCAACAGCAATTGCCCCTCTCTCACTGCTTGATTGAGTGCAACAGCATTACCGCCGTACCTGAACTAACAACACCGATCTCCCTCAACATGGAAGAAGAGGATACGCTTTTCGTCCCTAGGGACAACTCCTCGCAGGCAGCCGGCGAGCGCAGTGAAGCCAGTATACGGGCTTCATCGCCAGCGTTAAGCCTCAGTGGAAGCATCTCCAGCAGTATTTTCTTCCAGGGGAACGCGAGAGATCTCGAGGAATTGGACATGGTTGACATAGCCTCTGTGGCTTCACTCCCTAATGAGATGGCAGATGCTGGAGTCAATGAGGCCAGAGCACATGACCTTCACAAGCGACCAAACAGCAAACCAGGTGGAGGACCAGACGATGATCGGGCTGATAGTGTGTTGGACGACGACGATTCCCGCGACTCAGATGACGGCTTCCCCGACCCAGCAGACGTGGAACCGTACAATGATCCAGAGTCAGAAGACTACGTGCTTCAACCAGGAGATCCAGGTTTCGTTGGCCCAATTTGTGAGCTTCCACAAGCACTGGCTCAAATTGAGTGTATTCCTCGAGTTCAATCTACTGACACTCACACCTAGACGCCCACAGCCCTGAGTGGCATACGCATCCTGTCCAGGGCTACACCCGTCATATCTACTACGAGATAGGTTTCGACCGAAACAAGGTACCAGCCGCAAACGCCACACGCGAAGTACTTCTGCATGATGGTCGCTGCCGGCCCATGATTGAATTCTTCGACAGATGCACAGTTGCAGAGACGATCGATGTGCATTTTCCGGATCATTCACCCCTGAGAGTATGGAACGAGTTCTGGGCTGCAGAGAGCGCGCTTTGGGACAAAGCGACTCTGATCCATATTCACTTCCATGGTAGATCGTGGGGAAGAAACGAGGATTACACCTGGTGAGTGAGCTGGAATCGATCGGAACTTTCCCTCGTGCCTGCTAATCTGCTTCTCAGGAAAGTACCGGGCCTCGCACGCCCTTTGAAGGTCTACGCCTTCATGCAAGAGCTCAACGAAACTGATTCTGACATTGTGTACCTTCTGGACACCTGGATCAATACCAGGTTCAAGCGCTTCCATCGTACACACGCCATGACGGAGTTCATTCTAGCGGGCATGAGCGAACCTGTCAGGGGCACTGGTGAGCAAAGAGCTACTTTCGAGGGCGATTTTAGCCTTGCTTTTCCTCGCATTCTGGGAGACTATCTCGAAGATCGACGATACGATCACGCACATCTCCAGAGGGCTATTATGGACTACATTCGGGATCCAAGAACAGTCCAACAACTCGAAGGCTTCGAGGAGCTTCAATCGACACCAGAACTCATGAGATGGGACAAGTCTCTTAGCAATAACTGTCTCCGAATCTGGGACCTGAAGCCAAGCAAGGCAAGCGCAAAGAGAGGCATCGAGATTTGGAGAATCAAAGTGGACCCATACATTTGCCAGGTCACAGGTCTCATGCATTTCTGTCGCAAGCGAATTCAACCCGAACCCGAGCCTCCAGAAGAAGGAACTCCCGAACCAGCTGATGAGGAGATGGAGGATGTGCCAGATTGGGCGCCCGAGGAGGAAGACCACGATGAGGGCTTTGTGTCCGACGAGGAGGAAGAACAGGGCTCTTGCGACGGTGATGGAGGCGGAGATGGAGGCGATGATGACAACGATGGAGGTGGAGCAGGCAGTGGAAGCGCCAGCGGCAGCTCGCCTGCGGATCTGGTGAACATGAACATGCATGGGGGCGAGGACGACGACGACATGCCTCATGATAATTTCTAGGTGATGCTTTGGGTTTGGGCTTGACAGGATTAGGAGAGCTGGGCTCTCGTGATCTGCATTTGCATCGACTAAGGAGGGAGGGCACAACGGACAGCAACGAAGCGGCTGATCATAGCCTAACGGCTTCTTGTACTTCAAGAGCATCATCAGCTCAGGACATCAATATTTAGAATCTCGGTGCCATGGTGCTGCTTGCCTGCAGCTTCACCAACACAGAGCAAGAGACACGACATGCAGCATAGGAAGCATAGGGAATCAACAAGTTGACGATACACATCGTGCACGATAGAGACGTTGAAGTTGACACTGAAGTTCTCGCTTGATTGACTCTTCTACTGAGCGGTGCGAGGATAGATGTTCAGCTTGCCGGCTTTGGCTTCTTCCTAACCATGCCAGCACCAAGCACATTGACAGCAGGCTGCTGTGATTCTGATGCTGGCTCGGCTTTCCTCTTCTTCCTGATCATGCCGCTCATGTCGTTCACTCCCGCGCCATTCGCCGCTGTGGCTGACGCAGCAATTTCTACTTGCGCCGTGCCCACGACGTCCACGGCGAAATCCCCATTCAGCCCGGCGATGCTTTGCACTTCCGCAGTCCACTTCGTCGTGGACCAAATCGCAGCCTCAAGCGTGGAGAAGTCGAGGTGCAGCATCGTAGACATCGCTTTGTCGTAGCCATCCGCGTTGACGAGTATTCCATGACCAGATTCGGCGTCGAGCTGTGCTTGCATGTCGAGCAAGTTTGACTGAGTTGATTTGATCTTTGGCAGACGAGGCACGATCACACCCGTGAGGGGCTTGCGCTTCCGCTTCTTGGGGCTGCCACTGGTAGCCGCGGCGTTCTTAGGCTGACTTGTGGGCGCGGCTTCCACCGAAACGGTCGAGTCTTGACTGTCTGCGTTCATGACAGCGATATTATCACTGCCAAACACATCATCCTCGTCCTTGTTTGGCGAGATCACCAGCCAGAGAAACCCCACCACTCGACCCGATGAGCACTCCTGTCGGAACTCCATCTGTTCCCAGAACTGATCCAGACTCATGACTGATTTCCATCGAGCGCTCTTAACTTTCGATGGACTAGCGGTGAGTTGTGAGTCCTGAGCTACACCAATCTCATCGTCAAGGTCTGATATGAATCTTGCTTTTGGGTCATCCGGGAACCGAGGAAGTAGACATCGCGGCGGTGCATGTTCAGGCACGCCACGGGTTCGACCAAGCTCTATCAAAGGATGGCCGGGTAGCCATCTTGGCTTCGAGGCAGCAGCACTGGGCGGCATGAACGATTTCAGCTCTGTCTTTGCGTATCCAGGCACAGTCAAATAGCCTTGATAGCGCGGCAGTTCTTCAGCATTCGCATCGTCTGTTTTGGCGATTGGTATAATCGGATCCAGAACGCGAGCCCACCATCTGATGAGTTGCCGATCGTCCAGAACATGCTTGCCTTTGTCGTCAGAAGATCCCGGGAACAGATATTGTGATTGAGCTCGAGCAAAAAGTGAAACAACAATCTTTCGATTCGGACGCTTCCGCCTCTCCTTCTCCGCCAGCCACTTCAAAAACGTTGTCACAGCAGTCTTAACAGGAGATGGCCTTATTCGGGGAACATAAGCAGTAGAGTCGACCTTGCTTACGAATATAGTGGTGAGTTTCCTCGTAGTATAGACCAGAACCTCAATCGCAAAATTGATGACATCGCCAGTGCCTGATTGAGGTAAAGCACTAGCATCGGCACTGACTGTCAAGAAGTGACTGGCCAATCGGGTCTTTTCTGGATTTTGTCCTGGTAAGGATGAGAAGAGCGAGTCGCAAGGCTTGGGCGGAGAATGAAGGTATCGGGTTTTGCAATGGAAGCCTGTGGGTAGCGCGTCTTGAAGCTCGTCCTTAAGTGATCTTGCATCTAGCTTCTCTCCATTGGCCGGGTTATTGCTCGATGTCGATGTCATGCTGGGAGGAAGTATGCTTTGATGTAATATACGAGGCACCAAAAAAAACCTCAGTCTTGCAGTACCCAATGGCAGGAACAGGAGACTCAAAGACTTTGCGTCAATAGAAGATGGTAGATAATCTCAGTTCTGATGCTGGCAACTAGGAGACGCGTCAAAGTGCACGCGAGCCCCATCGCGAATTCCAATTCAGAAGCGGTTGTGGTGCCTCAGGCATTAAAGCCGAACCTCACTTCCGTCCTCGCCGCATACGCTGCCCTTCCTCACGCTGGACGAACATCCATTGCCAGCAAGAACGACATAGCCACCGCCCGCCATGAACCCATCACGCCCTTCATTCGTCTGCTCAAGCTGCGCGCGGGCTCTACGATCATTCACGAAGCCACAGACCACGCGACATTTTTCCGTTTCAGTCTCCAATCGCATCAATGACAGCGTGCCCGAAGATCCAGCACAACTCCCCCGATGGAGGCAGACTCCCGCACGACTGCAACAGCCTGTCCGTCTAAGACCACGTAGCGAACACTCAATATCATGGCGTGTAAACTCCGATCCAGAAAAGCTCGATGCTGTCTACGACAACTTTCTCGGCCGCATAGGAGGGAATCAACGAGGGCGAGAACTTTTGGATGAACAGACAAAGGTAGGTTGCATTGAATCAGGTCTATCGTCAGAACATAGAGTCACTGACCTTTCCCAGTGGATAGCAACAACCCACAAATCTCACGAACACGGCCATCAGGGCTTCAACGACCGCCTCGCATATCTTGGGAAACGCATTCTCGATCTCCAATGCTCCCTCGCCCTACTCAACGCCCCAGTGCCTTCGAACCTCGCCGAGCTCCCTTCAAACGAAGTCTTCAAACACTCCGCGCTAGAAGGTCTTGAGAACATCACTCCATTCAACAAAACTACCATCCTTCATAAATCGCGCTTGTCAGCGCTCGCGTCACAATATGGCTTGGATAAAGTTGTCAGGTGGAAGCCACGAGATCCTGAGAATCTGAAGTTGAGTGGAATTGATGCCGTTCTGGCGCAATCGATTTTTGCGATCGTGGGCGCAGTGGCTTTGCAAAGGGGCGGAGAATTGGCGGCGAGGACAGCAAGAGAAAGGGTTCTTGCGCCATTGGGGCTGCGATGAAAGGTTGGATATTGCAGTTTACGGGAACATATGGCAGGTGTGTATCAAGAGGGACACCGCTTCTCTGAGCGCGACGAAAGCCTTGAGCCTCGGCAGTGCTTCTCAGTCCTCTGCTTGAAAGCTGCTGGGACCGTGGACGGCACGCGGCAGGTCTGGTGCGAGGAGAGAATAGATGCTACATGATCAGAGCGGATCTCGGAGAAAGAGCAGAGCGCGATGTCTTTGGGAGAAAACTTCCCAAAAAGTGTGAAGGCATCCCACAACGCTGGCGAATCGCCGCGATGTCTGATATAATACACATACTGTACAGTAGGCTCTGCGATACGCAGTGCCATCTTGGGTATCATGAGCAACATCCATCAGCTCCACCTTTTACCAGCAAGCAGCTAGCAATCCCACAAGCCAGGAACATCCGTCCATTCCATCTTCTCGTACAATCATTACTCGACCAAAGCCTCCAGAATAAGACTCTGAATCACGAACTCGTCATTGACAAGCTTCACAACTCCATCCGTAGCCGACATCTTCTCCGGAGCGACATTGTTCGCCTCGCTTCCGCGTTTCTTCTTCTTGCTTGCAGCTGCAGCCCTACCAAAGAGAACCTTCTCAGCTTCGGCCACAGAAGAATCGACGTACACCCACTTCCAGGTGTCAGGATCATCGAGTGTGAGTTTCTTCGCCTCTGCTATGTCGTAAACACGCTTGACTCGGCCTGCGCCACAAGCCAGTGTCAAGAATGCAAAAGTCTTGCGCTTCTCCATGTTCGCGGAGCCAGTCTTTGGAGCCACAAGGATCAAACTTTCGTTCCTCAGAAGGCGCATTCGGTTCTCGACAAGGTCGCTCAGAACGGCAGTGGCCGCATCGTAAGGAGTTAGAGAGCGTGATCGTACAGCATTCAAGTATGTGCTTTCTCCAGCTGGCAGAAGATAACGATCCCATGGCAAAGGTCCGCTCTGATCTCCAGCGGGGTTCTTTGTACTCTCCAAGGAGTGCAGTATCCAGCGACCTGAGATCGTTGGTAGACCTAAAGCCAGTGCCTGCATGTACTTTGCACGTCTGCTGTGACGATCTGCGATGAGCGCAGCGAACTTGAGGTCCTTGAACTTGCTCTTGAGTTGGAGACCAGGATTTGATTCCGCGTGATCCTTCCTACGTGGCGACTTCTTTGATGGGGTGCCCGCATTTTTGCCGTTGATGTCGGGCAGATCGAACAGTTCTTCGAAACCCTCCTCCAAAACAGTACCACCGTGTTGCTGGATCAAATCCGTCACCTGCTGCTTCTCTTCGTCGGGCGTGACATAAGAGATGGCAAACGCCATACCATCAAAGATGGCACTAGTCGAACTCGTTGCCGATGAAGACGCCAGGGACGTCTCTCGCAGATTGGACGGACGTGCAGACTTGGTCTTTGCAGAAGGAGCGTAGGCTCGCCGAGGTCGTGAGGAGGGCGATCCTGCAGCAGAAGGAGTACTGGTGCGGGCGCTTGTAGGAGTTGAGGGTCGTGTCGTGATTGCATCAGACGGAGGTTCAAATGCTCGGTCTTTGAAGGGGTGCCACATCATGAACGTCAAGTACAAGAGATTAACCAGTACTGTCTGGGTCACGTCTGCAGCTTCCGAGGAGGTGGATTTCGACAGGCTCTCACGATCCCCCTTCAGCTGCACTTTGACATGAGTGTGGCCATAGATGTCGGTACCTAGCGCACGCTCCTCGTCAGTTGTTGCGACCGGTCCAAAGCCGACCACGACCCAATTCTTCTTGCGCTTCTTGTCATCATCGACCTTGACGACGTCACCGAGGCGCAACTCGAGACGGCGGACATGATAGTACTCAATATTTGTGACAGTGTTGTCGTCAAACTTGACCTTGTAGGTCGTGTGATCCGGAGATGCTCCGAGCCAAGTAGCAGGATAGAAGTGCTGTGGCGTGCCTTTGAACAATACGAAAACACGTTCTGGAGCGACGACTACTGGTTCAGTGGTTGGGGTAATGACATCCGCACCAGCACCGACTAGGTCCAATGATGTTGACGAACGCGTAGCACGACTCTGTGTTGAAGGTTGCCCTTCGCCTTCCTCCGCTGAGATAGGCGTTGTCTCCAGATTCGGTGACGGAATGGCAGCAGATCCCTGATCGCTTGCGGCTTGTTGCTCGCTGTCATGAGGTTCATCATCGCCACTCACAGGTGTGAGCGCTCTGGCCGTGCTGGTCCTACCTGAAGCCTGGACCCCTGACTTCGCTGACTTGCGCCGAGACCCTCGAGAATATGTCTTCTGTTTCGACTTCTTTCCCTTAGTGGAAGTTCGCAAAGACACAAGCTGTGATACGGCAGCACGACCAGCCTCTTCGCGAATTCGCACGCTCTCAGTAGTCGATTCGCGTGTCTTCTCGTCCTCATCGTCAGTCAAGACAGCCAACATCTGGTTCGCTTTGCTTGGACTGTCCATGAGCGCTGGAGGCGGCGAAGGGCTTCGGCTCTCCATCGCGTTTGAACGAGCATTCCCAAACTCGACGGACGCTGCCTCAACGATGTTCTGCCCCTCGGAAACAGCTCCTGCCTCTGTTGAAAATGGCCCATCTATGGTCAACGCAGCGCCCGCATCGCTTTCCTGCAGAGCATTGATCTCGGTGCTCTCGCCCTCGCCTCCTGAACGCCTGTGAGGCGATATTGCGGTGATGGACGAGTTCTTATGGCTCCGCTTGACTCGCTTAGTTCTCGGAGTCTCGACATGATCGTCTGACATTAGGTCGTGCACCTGTTTGTCTTCGGCAGTAAAGAGCGTATCCACGAGGGCCACAACATCTGGCTGGCTATAGTCTATGCCCATGCTGTGGTTCATTGGCATCGACCCTGATGCAGCGAAATCTGCAAAACGACGAATGGAGGGCGACTGGTCCGTGGACTTGCTTCGCTGACTCTGTCCCAGCTGCTGCGATAGACCGACCATTTTGTTCCTTGCGGGTGATGGTGCCGAGCCAGATACATGCGTGCGTGCAGTCGAATATAGTGGCACACTGTCATCCGGCCCATTTGCTGAATGCAATTCCGAAACTCCGTTCTCGATCACATCGCTTTCCTGAACCTCTGCTTGCTCAGCATGCCCCAGAGGACCGGGTCTACCCTTCGACGCTTCAACATGATCGTCGTAGATAGGATTCGCGTTCACTTGAACAGGAGGGCTGCTTGGAATCCTGTTGCCACTGACACTCGTCTCAGTGCTTTCTTCGGTCTGCAGTTGCGAGGCGGCAACTCGGCTTTGCTCGCTGGCATGAGGAGCTCTGAGTAATGCTGTGTCTTCACTGGTCCTGCCCTGGTGCTGTGAGCCAGGTACGTATGATGAGTATTGTACTGCCTGCTGTGATGCCGAAGGGTGGTCCGGATGTGTTGCCGTGGGTTGCGAATTGGCTACCGCAGATCGTTGCGATGTCCTAGCAGAGCTCTGCACTTTCTCAACGGCTGCATGTTCTGTTTCGCGAGGGTCGTCGACATCCTCCATGGTAACATCTCCTTGCTCCGCCGGAGCTTCTGCCGCCATATCATCGTCATCCTGAGCAATGTCATCAGCCTGACTGCGTAGTCCTTGGCCGAACTCATCGTATTCGTCGTTGTCCACATCCTCGATCTCCACATCTCCATGCTCCTCCGGTTCGGCATCGCTGACTCCAGGATCGTCCCGCTCGCTAAACTGGACGTTGCATTCCTCCGGCAGGTCTTGGGTTTCGGCCATTTCTTGGTCTTCGTCCTCATCCTCGATGGCTTGCTGCGGGCCTACCGCAAAGCCGACCACAAAGTCGTTCCATTCGCTTGCTTTCCTGGACGTATCGGGTGTATCCTTGATCTCTATCGCATCGTGAGCTGATCTAGAGCGAGAGCTTGATCGTGCTGGCGCCGTGACTCTCGACAGGTGCTCGGAATGAGGACGAGGACGTGGTATGCCACGTCGCGGCCTACGATCCCATGAATCTTCAAATTCATCAATCTCGTCTTCCACTTCACCCTCCTTGCCGTTCAACTTAGCTGCCTCGATCCGCTGTCTCCTCATTTCCTGCGACTCTTTCATGCTGATATATCGTGTCATAGGTTCGGGTTGTGCAAGTGAAGCTGCACGCCCAAGCGGACGACGTAGTTCCGGTGACGAGAACACCGTAGGAGAGGACGGTCTGTCGAAACCATTGGTATGCGGCGAAGGTCGGGACAAGATAGGATCGCTGGGCGGAGCTGACAAGGGAGAGCTGTCTGTAGCGCGAAAGAGTTGTGTGTTGGTCATAGTGGGCGGCTTCTCACCGTCTCGAAAATACTGTGAATAGTGAGGCGTCTTGCTTATCGTTGTTACTGAAGTCAGTAGCTCTCCAGTTCGTGCACGCTTTTGACCAGCAAGCGCTGGCGTAGCTGGAAAGTCTCTCGACGATGTCCGAGCCTCTGTCTGTGGCTGTGTATCTTCCCGCAAGAGGTCGTTCTCCGCTTGTGAGGTTGTAGGCGACGCTGCCACAGCAGCCGATTCAGCCATATCCGTGTTTCTCCCGTAAGACCCATATCCCGCCTGTGAAGTCAAGGACGGCATATTCTCAATGCCCAAATCAATGTGACCATCGACAGTGGAGCAATACGTATTGGGCGTGTGGCTTGCGACTGTGTGAGGCCTCTGTGGAGTTGTCTGCCCGTCTGCAATCATTGACTTGCTCGTCTCAAGAACAGCTTGTGAAGCCCATGGCTGCGTATCGCCACCTCCTTCCATGAAGGAAGCAGCCTTTGGTATCTCCACCCACTCTCCCTCTCTGAGAGCTGGCATCTTCACCGGGGACGCGCTGACCGGCGCGGCGTGGAGGCGCTCTCTCGCTCTCGGTAGCGAGTCGTTCGGGATGCGTTGCTCGATTGATTCGGGCACAGTTGCGCCTTTGCTGTTGCCGGCCTCGTCGCTCGCATTGGAGTCCTGAGCAATGCTTTGTTGGCCATTCAGATCATCTGCTGATACAACCTGCGCGCCATGACTAGGTTCCTTGTACTAGGGTCGATAAGTCAATTGCGGTCGCCACGATGGGGCCACAACGCGTTCGCCACTTACCTGGTCAAGTCGCAGCGCTGCGGCTCTCAGCTCTTCAATGGGCACACTGCCCATGCTGCTCTCCGTGAGAGATGCCATTGCCGCGACGCAGCAGCAGTCTGTGATCTATCGCATTTGCTGTTGTACTTCGGGTCAAGTCGTGGAAGACGTGACCCCACTCGAGATTAATTAAGGTTACGCGTAGCGTGGCGCTTTCGTGACTGCCAAGCCTTCAACGCCAGCAACTTCTTTCGTCACGTCGACATTCACTGTTATACAATGCAAGAACAAAGACACCCGGCAAAGCAAAGAATCCGCTTAGGCGGATGGGAGAGACCTAAGAATTGGGATCACTTCATGTCCACCAAAGGCACGCTCACGCTTTTCTGTCACGCCTTTGACGAGATGTACAATTCCAGTGACACGAGTGGATCGTTGGAAGTGGTTCGGCACGCTGCCTCACTTGGTCGGCGGCAATGATCCAGAGACAGCTGCAAGCCAGAACCGCCATTTCATGTCAAAATCAACCAGCCGGCAGGCTGATGGGCTTGTACGGTTGGGACGCGACCCGCAGTCACTCCCAAAGACGACTCGAGCCACTCACAAAAATGTGGCACCCGTATATATGTGGTGCTTTCTCCAAAATCTACTTCGATTCCACGCTTGCTGATTTACAGGGGCTGTCAAAATACAACTCGAATTGAGAACAGAGAGGAACTGACGTGAAAGAGCAGCCCAATTTCAAAATGGAGAACAGACTGCAGCAAGATGGACCAGCACAACACCAATTTGTTCGTACTATGAAGGGTGCGGTTGTACACTTCCGACCTGGTGTGACAGTGAGCAACATCTCACTCATCTCTGACCGCACACCGTTGAGCGCGCTGCCGAGTGTCACTACGTGGACCCAAAAGCGCCACATCAAGCTCACAGAAGAGGGTTTCAGGTGGACGATGTGCGGCGGATTCAATACACTCATCTGGACTGCCTTCCCTGAACGTGTGTTACTTGACGAGGCCAAGAAGGAGCTCGTTGTCCTAAGCTGTAAGGATACATACCAGAGGGTCCTGCGCGCGTTGAGCGGATCCTTCTCATTTGGTGAATTGATTCACCCACAGCACGGGCTCTGCAACATCTGCTATACTGATGCGGACGACCCTGTCATTACCGAGTGTGGTCATATGTACTGTCGACAATGTCTGGAGAACATGTGCAACGTCAAAAATTCGACTCTCGAATTCAAGATCGTATGCAAAGGCCACTTCGATCATTGTCGCACACCACTATCGATCTCCACGATTCAGGAGTTACTCCCTCCGGATGCTTTCGAGCGCGTGTTGGAAAGTTCACTCGACGTGTACATCCGAAGACATCCCAGAGAATACCGCTGCTGTCCCACACCCAACTGTGGCCACATCTATCGCCCCAGCCCTGTCGACCATGCCGCTGTGCATTCTGCTTACAAAGACTGCAAGAACTGCAACAGGAGAATATGCACAGCATGCAAAACTGTGCACTGGCCCAAGACATGCAGCCAACACCGTGAGGACGAGCAGTCCCAGCAATGGCGACAGGAGAACTCAGATCGCATCAAAGATTGTCCAAGTTGTGGCAACGCGCTCGAAAAGAATGGTGGCTGCGATCACATGGTGTGTCATTGCGGCGCCCATATCTGCTGGTCCTGTCGGGCAATCTACACACAAGAGGAACAGATCTATGGACATGAATGTCCGAATGCTGGGCATACGTATTATCACGATTACGATTACGATCCCTTCAATGGATACGACCATGAAGCAAACATGTTCGCACCCATCCCTCCGCCTCCTCCCGATCCTCATCCTCATCGTGTTGGGCTTATAAGACGGATGGGTGCACAAGTTCGGGACATGGTCGAAGCACTTCGTCTGAATGGAAGACCTCACCGCTAATGCTTCCACTCATCCATCCGCCACCAAGCCGAGCAGCAGCACCCACCATGGAATCAGCACGACACGAACGAAATGAGACATCCCAACGCACATAATCGACAGCGATCGGTAGAGAGTTGGGAGGAGACGGGACACCTCTACTCCATCCTCCTCAAAGGCAACAGACTGGAGACAAGGCATTGCTTCGACCCAAGTTGTGTTCGAAATAGTTAATACGGGTAGAGTTATTCAGGTAAAAGAAAAACACAACCCAGCCACAACTGATGACGAGCCAAAATCCCGCCATCAGCCAAGATAGTATGAGAATGAGAAAACCACACGATTTACCCTCCTTTTCAATTCCACCAAATTACATGCTAGCTCTCGATCTTCGACTTCTGCTTGCTTTCACTCTTGTTCTAATCGGCCGTTGCAATCGCACCACACAAACAGTACATCTCATTCTGTGTATGAATCATCATCTCATCCCCTCTCCGAAAAGCAAGAAATCAGCAGTGGTAGCAGTATCAGCAACAAGCGTCTCTTTTCCCATCTTGTTGACACAACAATTCAAGCAGTTTGACCCGGCCCGGAAGCAAAGGCAAAGGTCATAGAAGAAGGGTGAAAGTGCTGTGTTGTTGCTGTTGTCATTGTAAGGAAAAAACTCCTCCCACCGCCCCCTAGCCAGCCCGGATCCGAAATATGCTTCTGAAGCCCAACATCTTGTCTTGTTGTTGCAACCCATGCAGCCATACTTGCTTTGACGATGATCCTTTTTTGTCGATAAGTCCTTATGGCCACGGACGCCTCGCTAATACCCTCACCGTCAACCTCTTCCCAGCGCCGACGCTAACGAGCCCTTTTGCAGCCGAATCCCATATGTCATCGATGTGAATTTGATACAATCTGGTATGTCCTCTTCCTCTAAACCGACACCTGCCCACCAATCCATCCCGTCCCGAACCTGCTCAAGTGTTGTTTACTGGGGTGACTTTGCCCCACTCGCACCATTGCGACGGTTGTCGCCCTCGTTGATGCCGAGCTGTCCCATGCCAGTCGAAAGAAAAGAGAAAGGATCCGCAGCACCGTCGTTGCCATATCCTCCGGGCTGTCCGTACGCACCGTTGGAGTAGGCACCGGCGCCAGCCTGCGAGCTAGTGTTTCCCTGGTTGAAGGCTTGCTCGGCTCGGCTGTCGAAGCCTCCACCCTGAGACTGCATGCCGCCGTTGCTTGCCATCTGCCCGTAGCCGCCAGCCATGTATGGGCTAGGTGCAGCGATGCCGGAAGGCATGTTGTAAGACGAAGGTGGTCCGAAAGACTGGCCACCGAAGCCGCCGGGTGGACCTTGCATCGCACCATATGCGCTACCATCGAAAGATTGTTGGCTTCCTCCGCCGTAGCTACCAGTTGGTGGCTGCATTGGAACCTGTGGAGGACCGCCGTAAGATTGTCCTGGGAAGCTGGTCATGCCACTCTCAGCAACGACAGCTGCCTGTGTTCGAGAAGCGCCGCATCTCAAGCACGAAACGTTCTTGGCAAAGTTGTGATAGCCACATCCTTCGTTGCCACACTTCCAATCACCAGCACGGAAAGGAACTATTCCACCACGACCGCTTGAACCGCCCATGCCACCCATGCCGCCAAAGCCACCGCCGTGCATGTGACCGCCGCCCATCATACCTGGATGACCGTACTGTGCTCCGCCAAAGGGGGTTTGCATACCGTAGGGTTGACTATATGGATCCGGACCTCCGGCACCCATAGCCGGGAACGAGCAACGGAAGCATGCCGTGCGACGTTGAAAGTTGGAGAAACCGCAGCTTGGGCAGGTCCAATCGCCCGGGCGCGGACGGTTCTTGGAAGGTGGAAATGGAGTAAGAAGTGGAGGTCCTCCAGGAGGCTGTGAATGCGCAGCGCGGTCCAGCACTCTGCTTGATGAGGGTGCGACCTCGATCGCGCGATCGTTAAGCGCGCGTCCGTTCATGCTGAGACTTTCGGCCGCCTGAGAGTATTCAGTGTTAGTAGTTGTCTTTGAGCGGGGCATGTTGCATAAGCAAGGCACGCGACAAGGTGGTGCAGATCCAGTGAGACAAGGTAACGAGACCGTGCCGCTCAGGGCGGGATGATTGAACGTCATTGCAACGCGACGTTGATGTGTTGCAAACGATGTCAGTGATGTCGAAGATATGGTCGTAGAATGCTTGGTAGTAAAGTAGCGCAAAAAGCGGTGGGTGGTGATGTTCGTCTTTGGGGTGGGTGATACCGTTGTTGATGTATGTTAGAAGAGAGAAACACGCACTGAAGCCAGCGAGCAATTTTTCGTTTAGTGCACGGTCCAAACCGAGCGTTGCGCGCGACGTTGCCAGACTTCACTTGGATCTGCACATACAAGCAAAGAGCGAGCTAAACATACCTCTTCGTGACTGCCAAAAACAACGAAACCGCTTCCGCTGGGCTTGCCGCCTTCCGGGGTTCGCAGGGTCCAAAAGGCAATTGGACGACCGCCGTACTGTGTGAACCAACTTTCGAGCTCACTTTGTGTTGTGTCGTGAGGCAGACCGCTCAGGTGCAGTACTTTGCTCCTTTCGCCCAGGAAAGCGCGGACGTCGCTTCGTGCGTCGAGCGGTCTTGACAGGATATCTGGGTTTCCTTGTGGGTTCGTAGCGGAGGGTCGAGACTTCTTGAGCAAGGAGTTGAGACAGCGAGTGAGCGTCAGAGATTCTTCTAGTGCACGGCGAGGAGATGATGGAGCGAGCGCTTGCAGGTGGAATGGTAGACCTCCGGTGACTTTGCCCGAGGACCTGACCTCTTCCACTTCAAGACCAGCGCAAATGCTCGATAGGCTGGAGGAGCTGAATGCAAGTGTTTCAGGATGGTGTGATTGGAATGTCTGGTACTCTTGACGCAGGCCGAAGAGCACTGGATGTTGTAGGTAAGCGGGCAAGACGACGTTCTTGTCGCGTGCCTCACGCGGAAGCTGAACACGCAAATCCCATGGGGTAAGGGTAACGAAGGCGAATGTTGGTGCGGCACTAGGGCCGGCGTCCTTCGGCACAAGATGCTCCTGGGCGAATTGATCGAAGGTGGTGATGGCGTCGCGGAAAGTGCCAGCGTTCTTCACATGCTCCCAGGTGAGGGTCGTCAGAGAAGTACATAGAGGAGTAATAGGAGTGTTGACAGGGCGAACGAGCACGGACTGGCGGTGCAACTGCGATAGGAGGTTTTATTAGTAACTGGTCCAAGCTGTATATATTGGCAGTGTCTCGTTCCACAGACGCCTTCGGCAGCCCGTGCCATGCTGCTGCGTGTCGAGGGGCCCAGCAGCACTTGCCGAAACATCGTTGACGTACCTCGCGCTCGGGATTCTGAGCATCAACTACCACCCAGCCAATTTCAATGACCTCGGCACTGTCCTTGGTGACATATACTCCATGCTCGTCACACGTGGTGGCGATGTGGATGACGCAGTATTTCTCAAAGGGCGTTTGCGCGGGTGGCTGCTGCTGCTGCTGTTGCGGCGGCTGCTGTTGATATGGGGCCGGAGCGGACTGGGAAGCTCTGCTCTCAGGCTGGTAGGGAGGCTGTTGCTGTGCGGAAGCTCCTCCGCCGGTGCTGGAGGCCGGTGTGGGATACGGGTTCCCGCCGTACGGCTGCTGCTGTGTTGGTGTCGCCATGGTTCCCGATGTGTGTCCTGCTCGTTCTCCGTCTCAACTGAGTCTTCTCCCACGTGGACAATAATCCCAATGAACGATAAAAGAGCTAGGCTCCTGGCGCTCTGCCTGAACCAGACGAGTGAGACCCGGAACGCCGAACGCCGTGCGGATCTTGGGGCGAGAAGGAGGGTGGAGGGCGAGCTCAGCACGCGGCGTGGTGATGTCGAGACGGGTCAGCTGCTCGAGCTAGGGTGGAGGCAGGAAGGTCCGATAGCTTGCTGGGACAGAATACACGCCCACGAATAATGCAGACGCTGGCGGACGGCGAGGCAGACCAGAGCGAGCGTGCTGAGCTCTATCTCGACGTACGCGGAGATAGCAGCGCTGGTGCACACGCTGCCTCGGCGGGAAGGGGTGGAACGGGGGAGAAATTGCAGCACGCGAAGGAGGAGCTGTGTTTAGGATTGAATGCACTAGCGACCAGGGTTCGCCGCGCATGAGCCAGCATCTCCCATCCGCTGCCAGCGACACGACGACGCCCGGCACCATCGTCACCGCGCCGCATGCGCTGCTGCTCGTCACCCGCCCGTACCA